CCATACTGAATTCTGGCCTATTGTCAACTAAATTCTGAGATCTTATTGCAGATTTATACCGGCGTGAGTAAAAACAGAGCAAACCAAAGGTATCTCTTTGAGTCTCACAGGATCCAGATATTCTGCATGTGCATAACTGATTGCTTTACTGAATTAAGTAATTTCATTACATAAATATTATACTAGTTTTAATCCTACTGTAAATCAGCTGGCGAATGTAGTTGCAAAGCCGCTGGCCATCATATTTGAAAAATCATAGCAGTCAGGTGAAGTTCCCGATGACTGGAAAAAGGGAAATATAACCCCCATTTTCAAGAAGGGGAAAATGGATGACCCAGGGAATTACAGACCAGTCAGTCTCACCTCTGTGCCTGGCAAAATCTTGGAGCAGATTCTCCTGGAAGGCATGCTAAGACACATGAAAAACAACAGGGTGCTTGGTGACAGCCAGCATGGCTTCACTAAGGGGAAATCCTGCCTGACCAGTTTGGTGGCCTTCTATGATGGGGCTACAGAACTGATGGACAGGGGTAGAGGAGCTGATGTCATCTACCTGGACTTGTGCAAAGCGTTCGACACTGTCCCACACGACATCCTTGTCTCTAAATTGGAGAGACATCAATTTGATGGATGGACCACTCGGTGGATAAAGAACTGGCTGGATGGCTGCACACAAAGAGTTGTGGTCAATGGCTCAATGTCCGGCTGGAGACCAGTAACAAGTGGTGTCCCTCAGGGATCGGTGTTGGGACCGGTCTTGTTCAACATCTTTGTCGCTGACATGGACAGTGGGATTGAGTGCGCCCTCAGCAAGTTTGCTGATGACACCAAGCTGTGTGGTTCGGTTGATACGCTGGAGGGAAGGAAGGAATGCCATCCAGAGGGACCTTGACACGCTTGTGAGGTCGGCTGATGCCAGCCTCATGAAGTTTAACCATGCCAAGTGCAAGGTCCTACACCTGGGTGGGAGCAATCCCAGGCACAGCTACAGGTTGGGCAGAGAAGAGATTCAGAGCAGCCCTGCGGAGAAGGACTTGGGGGTGTTGGTCGATGAGAAAATGAACATGGGCCGGCTTCAGTGTGCACTTGCAGCCCAGAAAGCCAACCGTATCCTGGGCTGCATCAAAAGGAGCGTGACCAGCAGGTCAAAGGAGGTGACACTCTGCTCTCGTGAGACCTCACCTGGAGTATTGTGTGCAGTTCTGGTGTCCTCAACATAAAAAGGACATGGAACTGTTGGAACAAGTCCAGAGGAGGGCCACGAGGATGATCAGGGGACTGGAGCACCTCCTGTATGAAGACAGGCTGAGGAAGTTGGGGCTGTTCAGCCTGGAGAAGAGAAGGCTGTGTGGAGACCTCATAGCAGCCTTCCAGTATCTGAAGGGGCCTATAGGGATGCTGGGGAGGGACTCTTCATTAAGGACTGCAGTGACAGGATAAGGGGTAACGGGTTAAAACTTAAACAGGGGAAGTTTAGATTGGATATAAGGAGGAAATTCTTTTCTGTTAGGGTGGTGAGGCACTGGAATGGGTTGCCCAGGGAGGTTGTGAATGCTCCATCCCTGGCAGTGTTCAAGACCAGATTGGCTGAGGCCTTGGGTGATATGGTTTAGAGTGAGGTGTCCCTGCTCGTGGCAGGGGGGTTGGAACTGGATGATCTTAAGGTCCTTTCCAACCCTAACCATTGTATGATTCTATGTTTCTATGATTCTATAAATCAGCTATCGCGTTCCCCATATGAGCAGAGAATTCACAAATGACAGGCAGAGGAATATGACATTAGTGCTTCATAAGCATCCCCTTGCATGTTTTAACTCCAATCTAACTTGATTTCTCTGGATAAGGAAAAAGCTTTTAACCCTGTTCCAGTTGTGATAAGATGAAAACAGTACCGAGCTAATACTAGGGAACCCGTGCCCCAGAATGAGACCTGAAAGAAACTGGAAGATAACAGCATGTTATCTTATTATCAGTCTCATCTACAAGCAGCTGATGGATGAAGTGATTGACTACAGCTTTGTGCCATCAAAGGATAAAAAGCTAACACACTTACAATATAGGTGTTTCCATTTGAGTCCAAATTATCTTTTTTAATCCTATTTTTTTAGTAGATTTTGTCTTCCATTGAAATATAATGTAGAAATGTTTTAAAATTAACAAAATGAAGCGTGGAAGATCTTAATATTCAGACAAGCAAACACATCATACTCAATTTCAAGCAGGGACTGTAGTGGAGACTCCAGTGGTAAAGTGAAACTGTTTTTCACATTATGCAAGGATTCAGACTCCTTTTGTGCATTGAACAGCACATTACCGGCTCTCAAATAGAATGGGAAAATTCAAGCAAATCCAGTTGTTACTTTTTGAAATAAAATGAGCTGAAATTCTGTCTTTTTAGAGCTTTGCCTTCCTGTGTGGGGTGTTTCTTCTGACTGTAACAGAAAATACACACTTTAAACTTTAAAATATCTGTATTTCAAGGGAAATACGTATATTAGACATAGACTGCACTTGAATAAATTACTTGGCAGTAAATTTAAGTTACTTGTAAAAATCATACAGAAGTGTTGTGATTCACTAGGTCACATACAAGCCTAGGACAAAAAATCAGTTAAGTCCTAAAGATAACTGTCGTATATGCATCCACCACTCACCCATCCTGTAGCCTCCACTGCTTATTTTCATACAAGAATTCTACATGCAGTTGCTCACTAGCATAAAATTGTTAATTGAATGTTAGCTGTCCCAAGAAATATCATGGTTGTATGAGATCAGTGGAGCAAAGGACACTGGGCTGATTCTGAGCATTGAAAGAGCTTTGTCAAAAGACCTGAAGCAACCTTAAAACCTTAAAACTTTCTGGGCTCAAGAAACTAGGATCTTCCTTCCTACATAGATACACAGTCAAAGCTGAACTTAAATTACTATTCAGACTAACTCTTTGTCTACCAAAAATTAAGGAAGAAATGTTTGGGTTCATATGCTTTCTGGTGATAGAATGCAACTATAAATTTAGCTTAAATGACTACTGTAGTCATCTTCCTTTGATGTGTCAGTGAATCTTCCTTGAAATTCAAAAAAAACAAGTATACTGGTTAAAGACAGATCCTGTAAACAGAAATAGTGGAAAGTATCATGTAACAGCATTCTTGTTTCATTGTTATTTTAGAGTTGTGTGAAGAATTTCTGATTATTAATAAAATAAAATAAAAATAGAAATTAATAAGAAATATCAGTAACACCTGTAAAATGCTACAAATATCATCTAAGTTAAGAAATTTAGGGAAGGTAATACTTCAAAGAAATTTAACCATGGTAAGGTAAGAGTTAGGTTGTTAACACACCTGAATAGCTTAACTCTGCCTAAAGAGGTGTCAGGAGGTGAAAGGCTGAAAAAAGGCCTCATTTAGCCTAAAACATCACTTCATCTAATCTGGGATGATATGACTAGTGTTGCTTCATTAGAGGCAAACATTTCTTTCTTACTATCTGGGTGCCTTTGCACTGTTCTAATTTTAGCATGTCAGATTTAGTAAGAAGTAAGCTTAAATTGGAAACACCCTGACACGATGGGACTAATCTTACATGAAAAGCAACTGTGCATACCGATTCCAGAAAGAATCACCTCACTGACTTACACAAGTGATTTTGGGGGAATCTCTTTAGGTAGTAAATATTAGTAATCAAGATGGAAATGCAGAAGTCCCAGTGCCAGACCTGTTTGTTCACTTCACTGTTGTGGAGAAACATTTGATACAATAAAAAATGCTGGTTTAACATTCAGTCACACAGTGGCTTGTTCCAGCTGCGGGTAGTCAGTAAAATAGCAGGATAGTGCTGTTTGTATCACGATTGTTAGGTAAGTTTCATCACAGTAACAACTTTACACTTGCATTTCTGCTTCCCTACCTAATATTTTTAATTATTAAACAAAACTAGACTTCATGCAACAGAAAGTAAACAAAGCAACCAACGCAAAAGTGGTAGAATAAGTTTTATCATGGATCTGGGAGGTACCAGCTTATTTCTGTTAGAACAGCTGGCTCCATTTTATAGAATAGTCACTGTTCTAATTGCAGAATTTTAAATTCTTGTCTAGATGCTTTCTTAAATGCATTCCAAGTTTTATCAGAAGAAAGAGAGTAAACACATTTTTTGGTAGATCTGAAAACTGAGGTAAAGACAATGTGGCAGCATTCAGAGAAAGAAAAGTAATGTTTGAAGAAAAGTGCTTTGGCTGCACCTCCCCTAAAAATATGGTGAGAAACATCAGCAGTGTTAAGGGCTGGTAACAGCCTCACTGTCCTGTGTTTTCTGTGCTGCCCTGATGCAGTTGGCTGGTTCAAGAAGTAGCCCTAAGATGCACCAAATGGTTTAGGAGATAGTTGCTGCTCCTTTGGCTTGCCTCAGAGCTCTTTCTGCATGGATGCTTCAAAGGTTACTTGCTATAATTCCTGGAATTTTAGACTTATCTGTAACATAAGATGCACACAGATATTCCCCCTAGACAGCCTCATCCCAGCTGCCAATCATCAAGTACTTCACTTACTCTTTTCTTCTTTATTTTCCTCACCAGAACAACATTACATCATTTTTTTTCCCAGTTCCTAGCATAATCTAATTTGCAGACTGAAATGTGTTAATAAATTATAATAATTTAAAAAATTCTAAAAAAAAACCCAGCCCCAAAACCAAACCCAAAGCTTTTGAAAGTGCTGAAAAGCTAACTCTTCTGTCAGTGATTCAGACTAAATCTGAAGAACCATCCTAGGAAGCAGAACTGACCAAGATAAGTAATCCTTCAGAAAACACATTCCTCAGCTCTGGGAAGGTTGTGAGAAACTTACAGACTTGCAAGATACCCAGGAAAGATAAAAATGTTCTTGTTAGAAATGCTTTATATGGCCCTATAACATGCAGCATGAAGGAGTATAACTATGTTAAGTATTTAGGAATATGTAATCCTGTTCGGTTTTGCTCACTTTCATTTGACTTATTCACTAAGGCACTTCAAGTTCATGACCAAATACAAGATCAGAGCCAAATAAATGCTTACTGTTTTCATTCAGATTCCCATTTGTTATTCTGAAATGATTATGCCTTGTAAAGTTTGCTCTCGGTGCCGGAAATCCAGAGTCCTCTGGAGAGTTTGAAACTGAAAAACCATTCATAAGAAAAGGAAAATATAAAATAGTGTTTACATTTCTTGGTCTTTATGATAGAAACATCTTTCTGATTTTACAGTAATACAAACAGTAATGATCAAGTTTAGTCAATAGAGAACCATAAGATCAGTTCTTCAAATTACTGTTGTGAGCTTAAGATGTGAGAATTGCATTTTCCAGATTATCTGTCAAACAGAAGCAGTGCAAGCTGTGTACATTAGAAGGCACCAGTAGCTACAAAACTCAAATGCTTGAAACAAAATGTAATCTCTTGAAGAGCAAAGCTACTATAATTCACTGAAACTGGTTTTACTGAAAAACCAATACATTTTCCAATGTAAACTCATTACAGGGGATGGCTGTCAGGGGGCTGATAAAAATTCAGATGTGAAAGAATCTTTATAGTATTTTAAAATACTTAGTAGTTCCTAAGTCTCACTTTATGACTGCCACTTCTTGTAGCAACTGATTTAAGGGAGTTGATGCCAGTCTGTGCTGATTTGTTAGTTTTGTAAAAACAGGGTACAGTACACTGACAACAGTGATTGATTGCCTCCTGTAAATCATCTCTAGTTCAGCAGTGATAGTGTTAAAAGAGGTTTAACCAATAGCATGAAAAAAGAAAATACCATTATTAATAATATTAATACAGAGTGCTCTGGTGTCTACCTAAAACAGTACTAAATAAAGTGCTAGCCTACTTTTTGCTGGGAAAATCTCTTTTGAAGCTTAAGATCAAAAGCACTTTTTAAGCTTAAACAACACCATATGGTTTCAATTCTTGCTTTCCAACAAGCACTTTAAAAAGCACAACTAAAATGCAACTGACAAACTTGAAAAATCTTTTGTGTTGTTCCACTTGAATGATCTAATGAGAAAATGGCTCAGTTCTGTTGTAGCTAATGAGGTATAACATCTTCACTGAACCTGAATATATAACAGATACTTCTCTAAAGATCTAGTCTTAACATGCTTCTATTGCTTTACGCATTCTGCCATGTTTTTATTTAAGTGATGTCCAATGAATAAAAGCACAGGTCAGTTTTGAAACAGAACATTTACACATGAAATTACTCAATCCAAAAGTGCTTTGAACTCTGTATACAAGCATTGTGGTTTCAAGTGGGAAAATTTGTTTCACCAGCTTACTAAGGCCCTGAGTCTGCAAACAGAGATATTAATGTAGCCAGGCAGAGATCTGTGAAAACACATTTTTGGCAGATAAAGTTCTGAGACAAAGCCCAAGTGTATGTGAACTTAAACCTGTCTATTTCAGCAGTGACCTACTATCAATGTGAAGACAGATTTGGCAAAAGAGTGAAGGTACCACTAGTATCAGTATCAGCAGCATTTATTCTGGTAGTACCTAGAAGCTATTATCCTGATAAAAGGCTTTATTTATACAATAAAATATTTATGCCAAGAGATTTATACAAGGATGCAATAAGGATGTAACCCATAGGTGTGGGAGGCTTTAACATAACAGCAAAGGGGTTAGATTCAGTGCATCAGGTAGTATTTGCAGCTTAGCAAGAGTTTAGACAGGTTGATGAGGGCAGAATAAAACTGATCATGCTGGTGCTTCTTATAATCCTTAGTACTTATGTTTCAAATATGTAAAAGAACATGGTTTTATGCTCCATAAATGTGAAACTGAGACATGAAGAGAGAGCTACCTTGCACAGCTAGTGGGACCACAGAGTGGGAGCAGAGTCTAGATCTCCTCATTATGCTACTGGTCCTTATGGGGAAACTGATGGTTAAAATTCATACTGCAGTCTTTGAGCTGGAAGGAAATAATTCTGTTCATCCAACAAATATCCAGACAAGTTTCATGCTGTGATACAGAAAACACAGGTCTGCTGTCGGACAACAAGCTCTTTCAGTGAGTGGGGTCTTAGTGATAAACAGAATTACAATGAACCTTCTGTTTGTAGGAGAGACGTGCTAAGGCTGGCCTCCTCTCTGACTCCTTGCTGTTATTGTTTTTCTTGCATTTAGGAATCCTACTAAAAATCTCTGTTCAAGTGAATTTATACTGTAAAATGAAATGATGCCTACCCAGTGAATGCAGACAGACTGACAGATGGGTGAGTACAAGAAAATAATGAGCAATAAAATTGATCAGTGACTGTGACAGACAATGGTCACAGCAGATGCTCGACTGTTGTGAAGCTTTCTTTTGGTTTCATAGTCAAACTTCAGGGCAAGGTCTGGAGGAAAGCAACAAGGTAGCTTGTTCAGGGACCCCCTTCTCAATACAATGTGCAGCAAAGTAGAAATATGGCAGTGAAAAAGGGTGTTGATAACCAGTAACAGTGGTCAGCTTAAGGTATGCAATTGCATCTCAGGGCATTAAGACAGGACCTCACTCTCAATAAGAATGAACAATGGAGACAAATGCTTTGATGTGGAGGGGCAGGGGGAGCTAACACAAAGCAGCAGGCTTACAGGCAAAGGCATAAATGAAGAGCGTTATCTGTGTTAAAAGTATTTCCGATGGACATAATGAGACAAGATGGTTTCTTTCAAAACTCAACAATGTGATATTGCGTTATCAAATTATAGTTGAAAATAATTATGAACATAACTATCATCAAGAAGAGAAATTGGAATCAGGTGTGTCAAGAATCCCAAATAGTAGACATCTTCCTGGCAGAATGATAGAAAGAACATATTACATGTCCTTACACTTAACCAAATCCGGTGGTGAAGAAAGGAAGCAGATAGTATGTCTTTTATTTTCCCTGACTTTACAAAACCTGAGGTTATCTAGAAAGAAAAAAAAAAATCTGTGTTAATACTAGGATAACCATATGTCGCACTCCTTGTGGGTGACATGAATATTGTCCTTGGAATTTGAATGACATTTGCTTTACTTGTTCCAGGGGCTCATAGTCTGATCTTATCCTCTCTTCTGCATTTACTGGCAAACAAAACACAAGCAATGAACAGCAGTTCTTGAGAGAACCCTGTGCAAAGAAAACATAAATTAACCCAGTGATGGGGTCCTTTTCCAAGAAATCCATCTGACAGTATATCTCTCAGCTACATGAGTAGCTGAACCAAATCTTACTCTAATGCTACTCTTAGAAACAGAATCCAAATTGCAGAAATAGCTATATATCTTTGAGCAACATTTTTTGACTTTAAGTGCCCATGAATAACTGACGCTTTGTACTGACAAAGTGGCATGCTATGGGCAAATTTATACGTTCCTCATCAAGTTAGCCTAGACCATGGCAGCTTCTTATGGCCCTCAGCCCATATGAGTATTTGAGTGCACTGTGTGCCTTACAGAGATGTGACTAGGAAACAGCCTTGCAGATGGCTGTGTTGAGATGCAGGCTGTGCTGCAGACAGAAAAGGCTAGCATTATTTTCCTCTTTTAATATACAATGTTATTGAAAATGATAGGCGGTAGGGTATCTGAAGTGCTCCCGTGAGACCCCACTTGGAGTACCATGTACAGTTCTGGTGTCCTCAACATCAAAAGGACATGGAACTGTTGGAACAAGTCCAGAGAAGGGCCACGAGGATGATCAGGGGACTGGAGCACCTCCCGTATGAAGACAGGCTGAGGAAGTTGGGGCTGTTCAGCCTGGAGAAGAGAAGGCTGCGTGGAGACCTCATAGCAGCCTTCCAGTATCTGAAAGGGGCCTATAGGGATGCTGGGGAGGGACTCTTCATTAGGGACTACAGTGACAGGACAAGGGGGAATGGGTTCAAACTTAAACAGGGGAAGTTCAGGTTAGATGTAAGGAAGAAGTTTTTTACTGTGAGGGTGATGAGACACTGGAATAGGTTGCCCAAGGAAGTTGTGAATGCCCCATCCCTGGCAGTGTTTAAGGCCGGGTTGGATGGAGTCTTGGGTGAGGTGGTTTAGTGTGAGGTGTCCCTGCCCACAGCAGGGGGGTTGGAACTTGATGATCTTAAGGTTGTTTCCTACCCTAACTATTCTATGATTCTACTAACCAATGCTTACTAATACATTGTGAGGTGTACTTCTTAATGCCACATTGTAAAGGAGGCAGCTGAGCCCAACACCTTGATACTCTTATGAGAAAGTATAAGCCTGCAGTTCTAAAGAAGGGAACCTTGGAATAGCAATTTCCCAAGAGGAATTTGTTTTTTTTTCCTTTGTGAAGAGCATGACTGTTCTTGCCATTACTGAGTAATACTTAGTTTGCTTGACATTCTTGTGTCATTTCATCATCTGTTTCAGAAGTCAGTTCATTCCCCACTCAGTATAACCCTTTGAAAGTTGACTTAAAAATGTCATAAGTGCAAAACTATGCTTTTGAGTCAATCATTAAAAGCAGAGATCATGACTGCACCATAAGTACTACTGCTCCAACGTGCCCTGGTCTTCTCTCTTTGCTGTGTTTCTAGCTGTTGTTTTAGATGAGAAACTGCTGGTTTATGGTAAAAGGAAGTTAAGAGGCATTTAGAACTTGGACTTTCCACCTAATCTTTAAGAGTCTATTTATGGAAACATTCTGTATGAACTATATTTTCAACTGAAATTTAGAAAGACGCATTTTTTTTTCTCAAAACTAACAATGAAAAATGAATTTTGTTTCCATTTATGTTTATGCTACTGTTAATCTCAGCAGTGTTAAAATACTTAAATATATGAAGCTGAGATGCTACAAACTTTATGCAAACACTTGGCCCCACTGAGTTCCACTTGTCCATTTATGGTTACCAGGAAAGCCTTTTCTACTCTATAAAAATGTTAACTGTTTTCTGTCCCACAACTATGTATTCATAAAATCAGAAAGGCTAGAGTCTCCTTTGCCCTGTTGTAACAGTTTGTTCCCAGGGATAAAAAAGGCAAACCAGCAGCACTACACTGAAAAACAGAAGTATGCCTGGAAAAAAAGAAACCTGAAATTTCCCTTTGGGACTTTTTCAAGGAGTGATGTGGAAAACAACAAAGAAGATGATTGCTATTGAGCCATTTTAAAAATAAAATCAAGCATTTCAGAAATCCTTTAACATTTTTTGATCTTTCTTAACAGATCTGACCTGCTTTAGAATATTGAAAGGACAGCCCATCACTGCAACATACTCAGGCAAACACATACATTTTAAATTTATCTTGCATCACTATGAAGAACAGCATCCTGTAGAATGAGTGGCTTCTGATCACAGTACTGCACTGAGACAGGCACAGTGAGTCAATGTGATCATCATGTATACTGTGAAGCTATCAGCCTTCAAAAAAAATAGCTCATTCCTTGGAATGACCCAGTTATAATGCAAATCTTTATAGTTTTATTGATTATGAAGAGTAAATATTCACTGTATAAAATTAAAAGCACATCTAGTTTAACAATGCCAGCAAATATAGTAGCTGGATTTCAAAGCTTTGAGATTGCCTTAAGAATGGGAATAGCTTGAAGTTTTTCTAGTTCAGATGATTCCTGTCCTAAAGTTAAAAAATACACCATATGTTAGGAGATCTCAAAAATCTCACAACTGATATGTATATTTTTTGGAAAATATCAGTAATTTTACTCAGGCAAATCCATAGAAGAAAATGGGAATTTTGTCCAAAGACAGTCCACCATATTTAGTCCACTGAATATAGAGCATTAAAAAAAAAAATAAAATACTGTTTTTGAGTTCTGTTGGAAGTCCAGAAAAGATTTCTCTAATTATACCAAAGCTTGTAAACTGTTTGGTTCTCATATTTGGTTTTGCTCCAGATGATGAGTCAACAGAATGTTCTGTCTATGAAGTAAACCTTATGAAACTGTTTTAATTCAGTTATGGTCCAATACCAACTGCAGAAACTGGAGACTTTGAAGTCCTAGAGTTTGCTCATGTATTTTCATAATACAGCAAGAGTAAATACATGGAATTGTCTTTAATGGATTTGGATTTCTTTCCAGAAAAAAATATATCTTAAGCAAAAGCAGCTCATGAATATTCTGAATTACTTGTACATTGTTTTGGACCACTTCAATGACAGTGGAAGCTGTGTTTGATTTCATCCATCTATCTATCTATCTATCTATCTATCTATCTATCTATCTATCTATCTATCTATCTATCTTATTTACTATCTCTATTTATAGCAAAGTATATTCCTAAATAAAATTTGGACATCTTGAGAAACGAGATTTAGGGCAATTTTTATTGTCAGTATTGCTTATATCGAGGAGGAAATTTCCTCAGTGTACGACTTGCTTCAGGCCATCAGCTGACAAATCCCTCTTCCACATGCTGGTCACCTTTCTCTGCCCTTGTAAGAGATAAGTGAGGCATGGTGGTGCAGTATGAAAGAATTTCAGTGCTCAGTATCTGAAGGATCTTGGAGCCAGGGCAAGAATTAAACCTAGGGTATCATTCTTATGGAAGTCAAGTCCAGAAAAGACTGTCCCCTACAAATTCAAGTGAAGACTGGATGTGAGGAAAGTACTGTAAATCCTTAAGTGCATGTACAGAAAAGCTGCTCATATCTACCCTGCCAAACCAGAAATCTCAAGTTTTTTAGCCTGCTATACTGTAGGTGGGCCACATTAGTAACTAACTCCATTGTAGCCCAGGATCAGGGGCAGTTTTCTACAGATTCTGTATCCCTAAGCCAATAAAGCAAACAGGAGAATGATGCCACAATTTGCCCTGGGTGAAAGAACTTAAGCAGTTCCCATTCCCCCAAAATATAAAATTATGAAGAGTATATGTGGATGACTGCAGTTTCACTAATCACTAGAAGAGGTCATAGGAATTACACCTGTATATGATGAAATAATCTGATGAAAAATGAAACAAGTGCACTACTTGGAGGTGGAAGTATATCCAGGTATGTCTGCTCTGTGGAAGCTAGATCAAGTTTTCTGCATCCAGACCATCAAAATCAAACAAATAAATAGCCCTCCTCCTCTGGTCACAGAAGTCTGAGGACATGAAAACCGCTGTAAACTGCTGTTTAATTTGGTAAAATACTTGTGGGAACCCTTGCGTTTATTCTCACAACAGTTGAATGACAATAAGGCAAAATAAACCAACGTGCACTGTTCAGTAACTTGCCTGTCAAAGCTTCATTTCTGTTACATCTGACCTGTAATTAGGTAGCATGAGCTAATAGATAAAGAAAGAGAAGGGGAAAAAAAGAGTTTGCATTTTAGCTTTGCTTCTTCCTTACTACCCAGCTAATGAAACAATGTGCTTAGCAACCTCAATTTCTCTAAAACCACTAAATGTTGGTGATTGCTGAGCAGGTAGTAGATCTGACTTGATTACATTCAAACATCACAAACAAAACAATATCCAAACTGTATGTTAATATGTAATAACAATTTGTGTTAGATACGTAAATATGTACTGTGCATATTTTACGCTTTACACAAGCTTCTCTCACAGGGCTACAAAAACTAAGAGCTAGTTCAACTTCCAGAGAAAGCGTCAAGAGGATCTGGGGAAGGTTTAAGAACCTTTTTGTTCCTAGAATATCTCACAGTTGAGGAAGAATGCAATAGTCAATAAAAAGATAGTATCTACTTAGTGGGAAATTAAAAGCAGCTATAATAAATGGGAAGATAAAGAAATTGTCAGTAAGAAATTTAAACTTAAAAAAAACAAATGAAAACCAATGATGAAAAGGGTAAATGCACATAAGGAGAAAGTGAGAAACAGTTTAAAAGTATATCAAAACCAAAAGGAATCTGGACAATGGTACTGGATCGTTACTAACTGAAAATGGTAGCATCAATAAACATGAAACAAAGCATAGTTGTTTAATAAATACTTCTGTGCTGCATACGGGAAAAAAAGGGAAATGTTATTCAGATTCATACAGTAATAATGACATAATTTCCATGCCACTACTGACTTGAAGTCCGTTAGGTAGCAGCTACTGAGCTAGAATCTGACATGTTTAAATCAGTGCCTCTGAGTAAGCTGGATTTGAAAAAGCTGGCTGAGAAACATGAAGTACTTACGTTGATTTGCTCTAAGTTTGGGAACACTGGCCAAGTTTCAGGTGCCTGCAAGAAAACTGAATCTTGTTGCTGTTTAAAAAGGGAGGGTGGAGAAAGCTGGAATGCATTAGTGTAAAAAAAAAATCCCTCCCATCAACAGGAGAGGCATTCGCACAGTTACTGAACTATTATTTCAAATCCTTTTTGAGCCCCCATTCTGTGTAAAGAATGTTCACCTTTCATGGGGAAGCAGATAAGCAAAATGAGCATAGGAATTTGTCACACTGGTGGAAGCCCAGACAGCCCATATCCATGAGTGCTTCCGCCAATGTCTCTTTTCTCCAGAAAATCTGAAAACAAATTCATTTTTTTTCCTCACACTTCAGATGTGGAGCATATGCAGAGAATGAAAACAAGAAGAGCTGGGTGAAGTCTTGAGAAGTATGCACACAACAATTACATTTGGCAGGATTCTCTGATGCTTTGTCACTGTTACTTTTGTAAAACTTGACCAGTGTATAGAAGGAATTCTTCATGGTCACTTTGCAAGACTTGACTGATGCGATAAAACTGAATTTGATAATGGATGTTGCCTTGTATGTGCAGAAATAAGTAAATGCATCCTGACAGGTCCTGCAAGTTTTAATCCAGAAAGAGTGCATAGATGAGAAATGCAAACTGAAAGGTAATTTGAAAATGCTCTTTAGGACATAAGCTGATCTAACGTTGATGGCGAAAGGAAGAAGAAAGAAGAAGAAAGAAGAAAGAAGATCCTCTGTCTCCCTCAGAGGATGATGAAAAGGGTATCAGTTTTGAAATGAGCACAAGAACAGAGGTTTAGTGGCAGGATGAATGACTGCTAAGACTGCACAGAACACTGCAGAAGAACATTGGATGAATGTACAAAACCCTTCTTTATGCTTATGAAAGGTACTGTGGATTGAACTGCCTGAATTTATTGATTCTAAGAAGAGATTGTGACTGCCATCAGAATATTATACAGTGTAAGACAGCTGAATTTTCACAGCTCAGGCTCAAAGAATTGAAATAGTATATATTCCTCACTATCTGAATATATTCCTAACATTTTGTAGTGTAATATTGCACCTATTCAAATAAGGAATGAAAACAGAATATCAATAATCAATCTGATCAGAGATACAGGTACACACTCTCCCAGATCAAACCAGCAGCCAGAAAGAGGTAGGTGCTTCCCTTACTCAAAATGAAATCCTTTGTAAAAAAGTAAAAAAAATCCAATATATGTTTAAAATCCAAAGAACAGAGGACAGCAGCCTGGTATAGTTAGTTTGATGAAGAAGTGTACTAACAAGTTGTTCACAAAGAACTTAGGAAAGAAAAGCCAACCAGATGATGCTTAACATACTATATGTGTGTAAAACAAACAAAACCCCCACAACATACTGGGTTTCTTCAAGCTAGTAGTGTTAAAAAAAGGGAGATCCAAAGCTACCGACACCAAAGACACCTTATTGCAACTCAGTGGAGTAAAGGAGTGATAAAAGTATGTTTTAAAAGCTGATGGTTCTTGCTCCCTTTTGCAAGTGCTTGCTGTCCATATCCATGAGAGGCCACCTTTCAGTACAGCTGCTCTTTGTTACCTGATTTGGGAGATTTTTATCCAGGCAGTATTTGTTCAATGTGAGTGTAGTTCGGACACAATACATGTAAAAAGGAAACATAATTAATCAAACAGAATGTTCTTCTGCTAACACATTAGCAAAACTACCATTACATTTATCCAATTCAGATATTTGATCTTTAGAAAGATGATTGGTCAGTTTAAAGTGCTTAAAATGTTTGGTGCAATTAATTGATGAGATTACTTTAACAATACTGGAAAATGGAAACGGTTGCAATCAGCTTTGTGCTGGTTGATTGCTGTTACAAAAAACCACAAACAGGGTATTGAAGGAGATCAAAGGCCATTTTCAATCAAATGAAATTAGTTTAATATTGTTAGAAAATATTGAAAAGACGATGTCATGAACCCACCTTGGCATTAGGAATGAAGATTTAACCACTGAAAGACATGAGATTATTGTTCTGTAAATTTACACTGCACGCATTTCTAAACTGGTCCGTTAGCACCAGAAGGATTGAGAATATAAATAACATGGAAAACTGGTAGAAATTAGATACAGAGCATGAGCGGATCCATAACATGCTAGATTGTAAGAAATGGGGTACAAAAGAAGCACCCTGATGAAAATCTCACAAGAAATTCACAGTTCTTTATCCAGCAGTAAACAACTGGTTTGATTCTGACACCAAAGGCAAGGGATTTCAACAGTCAGCTCTGCTTCTATGTTGCATTACTGAAATTCTAGTTCCATAGCTTTCAGGCTCTTTGATGTTTATATGAGCAGACCTGAACATCTGTTTTCTTATGGAACAGATTAACGGAGAGTCTGTGTTCTCTCAGTTAGTTTACAATATAGATTTGTAGGTAATATACACTAATTTCACAGGCGTTAGAAATATTTTAACTCCAAATATTACAGTTAAAGCCTTGGGAGCCCTAGCAGTGTGCTAGGGTACTATCACAAAAAGTGCAATTTCTAATCTGAAATGGTTAAAGAGAGACAGAAATAATAGAGTATTAGGGAGTATATGAAAAGTTTGCACACATATTAAAAAGTCTGATCAGCTGGGTCTCGATATCTTAAGGAACCATTTTAAAAATCTTACAGAAATAATTTGCACACAATAATTTACTACTGCAGTGGCATCTAGGGCTTTGAGAGAGGGATGATGGAATAATACAAATAGTTGCTAGTGATCTTGTTTTCAGGCTATTCAATTTCTGCTTATGTCCCAAATCATAAGATAAGTTAAACCCTAAGTAGAAAAAAGCACAGGTTTATTAATATGACTTTAAACCATCCATATATAGGTATATTCAGACTACTTTGTTTTCAGCTCCTTCAGCTGTCATCTGCATGACCCAAAACTGAGAAATTGCTTAACAAAATACAGATTATCTTAATTTAGGCTAATAGCACTTTTCAATACTCAAGCCACAAAGGAAGCCCTTAAAGTAATTGAAAACTGTACCGACATTGCCTTAAAAGCCTTTGCACTCTCACACAGTTTTACAGAGTCTGAACATAAATAAGAATCAGGGCCTCAGAGTTCCATTAGTGTCTGAATCCAGTTGAAAACGTTTAGGATACATACATAAGCATACCAGGTAAGCTGAAAAGATCTGGAACTGGTGCAGGTGTAATTGCTTGCTATTTAAGAGAATTATTCCATGGATTGTAAACCTTGATTTAGCCTACCTGTTATAACTGATGTTAATCTCTGCAGAACATTTAGAGTTCAGTACACCTGGAGGGTTCAGTGCCTCCATCTCAGGAGTGAGTATTACTCAAAAAATGTTAGATTGTGGTTCGCATCAGTTTGGGTTCCGCTGTAAGGATGAATGAATGCAGCACGCACAGGCAGAAATTCCAATTATGTTTAAGTATAGGTTCCTCTATACTTGACCAAGTGGGGAAACACTGTATTTCTAATGAATAAAAACAAATTAGTTTTGAAATAATAAAGATTTACCTTTAAATGATGAATCTTTTTGTTGACATACAGTTACTATTTGTGTATAGCTCTACTAGACAGTTTTATTTAAACAAGCTAAAGATGTGATTATATTGTTCTCAGTGGATGTGTGATAAGAGTAAGGCAGATTTTCAAACACGTCTTTTAAGGCTGACAAGACAGTTACTATTTGCACTATGTGGTGTAATCTTGGTTGAGCTTTGAAGTTCCTTGAAAAATAACCAAGACCACTCAATGCTGTTAGTTGTAATAGAAAAAGGTGGCTGATACAGGAGGTAAAACAAGTTACAAGTGTCAGAGTTTGCGTTATTCAGTCCATCTGTAACTAGATCAATGATCATTAGATCAGTTAGATCATTAAACATAGATAAATATGCACATTTTAAAAAGAAACACTCATTTTACTGGAACGTAATTGTTCTGCCTCACTCCCACTCTTCAGTTCTGCTAAAGATGCAATTAAAATGTTTAATATTTGAAAACCTGACTTTGTTGGCAGCTAGTAAAAACTCGTTATAATATTTCACTATAAAGAAACAATTCTACCATGTCCCAGGGTAACAGCCTGCATTATCACTACCACGGTAAACATAGTACCATTTAGTGTTGAGATGTAGTTCTCACCTAAAGTGAGGTCAAGACTAGACTCTATTCCTTCTGTTTGTGGGCGATTGCTGTTGCTAAATGAGGCTTATCTTAAATGCTCCACTTTTTCAAAGTTGGAACTTCTGAAGAGTGTTGGTCATCCAGATTTAAGTTAGCAATCTGTAATAAAACTCAGTTTTAGAATTGAAAGAAACCAACCAGTCAATTAGGCTGTAAACTAATTCCACCTGTGTATTCGGTGCTCAGTTTCTATGTGTACATTTCCCACTAATATCTGTGGCAACTTCTTGGATGCAGGATGTGATATTTCCATATTATGAAACAGAGCTAGACTTCAAAAAATTTCAGCTCCTCCTCCAAAACTAAGAATTGTAATGCGTAAGTAAGCCAGCTCCCAAATGTACCTTTGCAGCTGAAGGTATCTCAACACAGACCATTTTTTTACTTTTTTAATTGCATCAGATCTTAGATACCTTTATTCCATTTAAATCCATCTGCAGTACAGAATCATTTTATTAGCTAGTCTGCTTTATACACCCTTATTCTGCAACAGGACTTAAATAGAAACAGGATTTCAGCCTAACACTAAGGCTGGATATTTGGTCTAGAAGGGACTCAGTGCAAAGTCAGAGCATAATTTATCCTAATTTTATGGTTCTTCATGCTTTTCATATACAAACTACTCTTTCCCTGTATCACAGATTAACAAATTCAGTAATTTTCTTGTTTGAAATATTCTTGAACAGAAACAAATAAATGTCAATTTCAACCATATATTTTGCTGCCCATTTGTGAAACGAACAACTTTCTTACAAAGGATCTGACTTCAGATACCTGGCAGCATACTTCCTGTAAAGAGAAGGGTGTCAGTGATTCTATCCACAACCTGTTTATACGATTACAGCTCCTCCTTTCTGATAATACTATAGCATTAGCCAATCATTGTACAATAGAGAAAAGAAAAGATCACAGAGTCCCAATCAAATAATTCAAATTGCATTGTAAGGGGACAAAATATCCAGTATTTTATCTAGGTTGTATCTAAGACACATAATATTTAAATATTCAGTACCATTAGATTGGCTTTGGTGGTGACTAAAGAACATTTTTTGCCTATATTATTTTATTTTCCAAAGTACTTCTTATACCAATTCTGAATCCCTTCTCTCTGATACCACAAAACATGTATCATGCTAAAGCATTAATTTTCCTGGCATTTTTTCTAAATATGAATTCCCTAATGTATTCAGAATGAAACGCTACGCTTATCAGCAGAAACATGTTTTCCTCTAGCTATTTTTTTCCAATACCAAATTAAACTGACAGGGGAGCTTTTAACCTTTCATGCTGAGTAGATTAACATGATTTCAGCTGATGGATCAGCACAGGTTAGGATGACCTTGGATCTTCCTCTACTGAATCTTGCGTTTTTTTCTAGCTTGGTTTCCTACAGGAACAAGGCTAATGTGACTGTGCTGTCTGTATATCCATCTGCTAACCTTAGCAGGAATTTTGAAATCTATTTGTGAGTTTCAGCCCAATTTTTCAGACAAGTACTATTTGACTTCTACAAATTCCATGAAATGAGCAGCTGAATTAGAGTTCTAAACTGATGATCCTAGTGAAGGAAAGGCTGCCATACTGGCTCAGCTACAATGCCTGACACTAAAGTATCCAGGAGAGTCTTATTCTGAATGATCTGAGAAACTTTGAGAACTCACAGCTGATTAAGCACTGAATAACCCAAAGACAAAGCTCTTTCATAAGGCAAACCATTTTTTCCTTCAGTCCAGCTGCTCATCAAGTGAGTGCTTAATTAGTTTATAATTTTAGGTAGTCTTTCAAGGCAAGAGACAATGTTGAAAGAGTTATTCTTGATGTTTGGTGGTTTGAAATTAGACCTACTAGCTCTCTTCTTGCAATCTTTCATATTGGGATTTAGTAGAGCTGTGTAATTTTAGTCCTGACTGATCATGAGAAATGGATTAGAGAGTTCAATATGCACGTGGCAAAGTCCATTTGGCTTTAGACATGAAATATGCCTAAGCCTCTAAATTTTAGGGCAGGGCATATTTGAAGGGACAGTATTAACTGTGTTGCTATATGCATTAGAGAATTCATGTTTATTGAGTTTACTAGGAGAACTAATATTTTAATATATTTCAATATTATACTTTCGTGACATCAAGAAAAAGTTGGGTTCAAAATTGGCAGAATAAATAAAACTAAGCTATTATGATTCTATGATATTATAATGAAAAATTCTCAGGTCCAATCTCTACTGATCTGAGAGAGAAGGAAAGCAAAGGAGCTGGCTGCAATGTCCTGAATCAGTCTAGTTCTGTCATTATCTTTGCCACCAGTGTTTTTGTTCTTTAAAAAATTGTTCAGTATTCTTGAAGCTTCACTGAGACTGTCCTTTTTATATCTTAGTGTGTATTGAAAAGATTAGTTGAAGCTTAATTGACAGCTGACACAGACAACCCAGCATCAACCTAGGATGTTCCTGGGTACCCCAATGGAGTCCTGTTCCTTTGTCGGCTTGTTGTTATAATAAAAGAGATGTTCTCTTCTGTTTGCCCGACTTTTTAGTGTTAAATAATAATTTAAAAAGCTTCGTTAAAAGTCTTTCAATGACTCAAATTTGTCAGGTTTAACTCTGTGGATTCTCACTGAGCCCTTTAAATAATGTTGAAATGTACTGATTCAAAGGGAATAAAGGAGAGAGGGGAACATTTGTTCCAGAGCCTGGCTGGGCAACAGGAATGAATAAGAGTCAGTAAAAGGGCTGAGTATTGCCAAAGCTCTAGCCAACACAGCTGTACAGCTGCAGGTACATGCAGTAATAGAGGCTAACATTGTCTATGTGCATCACCAAGGCTAGGAACTGTCTCTGCTCCCACCCCTTATTCAGTGAAGCTGAGACAGCAAAATTAAAGCCAGGGCTCAGATTTTGATAGCTGGCACAGGCCACCAATAAATTTAATGCTTAAGGGAAGTAAAAAAGAAAGGAATTATGCTTCAGAGATGTCTCAGCAAAAAAAGTCACAAGAGCTCATTTACTTGGTTAGGCTGTGACTACAAAGAGAAGTGAAGGCACTGTGAGAACACAGATGCCATAGCATGATCATAAGGCTTCTTACACTGCAAGTGTCTTTAGAATTAATAAGCTGGAGGACCAGATTTTAAGCCTTTTGAACTGTGGTCATGGTTAGAATGCTTTCCCAGGAATTTCAATTGCTGATATGTACCCTATGCCATGGATTGTGTATGATGTCATGACTGAGCATGTTAGGAATGTGTTTATCACACATTATTATTATTTAGAAATATTATATCACACTTTGAATTTTTCAGCTTGTTCCAGCTCAGGTTGAAGAACTGCAGTTTGCTGAAGTCTCTGATGCCCTCAAAAGTCATCATGTGGTTATGGCTCACATCAAATTATTCGTGGCTGGGCTACAAGACAGTGTAGTTTTGAAAATAGTTGTATGGCTGAAAGTGTTGCAGAAGAAACTTCAGTTAAAGTTATCAGTTGCATTTAATCTTTAAATATACTTAATGGGATCCAGTGCCTGGGACTCCCCTTGCGCATTATTGGGTCTGTTGGGAGAGGCTTAGTGTGCTCCAGATAAGTTACTCTATTTGCTAAAACGAAATGACCATTATAAAGGTCAGACGGGTGATATAGCAATACCACTGTAATATCGTGATTCAAATTGGAGATGATATGAACAGGCACTGAAACTGTGAGCTGATAATTATAGCACAGTATTCATGACCCTAGTTTAGTCCCCCATTCTGTTTCCCTGTGTGCATCCTGGCCCAGTCTTGTCTTGTAAGCACACATCACAATGCAAGAACATTTATGCTAGTAAATGTTCCATAAAAAGAAAAAAAGAATTAGAGCTTAATTTCTCACCAGGTCATGAATATTATTAAAGGAAGTAAATTCATTAAAGCTGGTGATAATTTTTTGAAGGGTTTTTAAGTCTAGAGATGTCCTATAGTGTGCTCAGGCTGTTCCCATTGAAATTCTAAACTTAGACCAAAAGTCAAACAGAAATGACAGTCTTACCAGACCTGCAGCCTTTAAAATCAAAAAACTCCAACGGGTGGAGTGCAAATACAATACTACCCCACTAGTAAAATATAAAAAGACTATAAAATGTAAGTACAAACTAACATAAAATACTGAAAAGACTTTTCACTTATTTGAAAACTCTCTATTCTCTGACTGGTCCCTGAAATTAGGTGACCTGGCTGAGGTGGGAAGTCAGATAGACAATTGGTTCACAGGAGAAGGGAACAGATGCTGCTGACTCTAAGGAACTGGCAACCCTTCCATTATGAAAAATCAGTATAGAAAGGGTAAAGCTGAGCAGAGACAGGCAACAGATCCTCAGGAAAAGGCAAGGTGAGAGGAGAATGCTAGTATCTCACTGCAAACACAGATCAGTGGAAAGATGGCCCTTTGATAAAATAACTAAAGAATTGTTATTCTCGTCTTTCCTAACACTGACTCTAAATAAACTTTAGAAAACAAAAAGTTTATTTTAAACTGTAATATTATATATTACATGTTTTATTATTATTACATATTATAATTATCACATATTTTAAACTGTAATATATATTACAGTTACCATCAAGTATAAGAAATAAGACCATCTCACAAACTAAAGTTAAAAATGGGACAGTTCAAAAACTATTTCAGTTTCACGTATCGGATATTTAGAAGGCGTACTCCATCAGAAAAGGGGACTACTGAAGGTGCCACATGACAGTTATGCATATGAATGCAATGCCAGAATTATGCATATAAATGCCCACCTGAAGAAGTGTTTTTCTGTGCAGCTACTATAACAATATATATGTCCGAAACTAAAGTCTGTAGCCTGCTACAGTTTTTTTCCCCCTAGGCTTCATTCTTGAGATGTCAAATCTGACAAAAAAAAAGAAAATCTTTTCAGGAACAACTGACATAAAGGCATGAAGTCATGGGCTTCATAAAATTCAAAGGAAAGGGTGATAGTTTATGTACAGCCCTATTCTCTGGTGCATTCTTCTTAAACTGTTTCTTGATTAAATTATGTATTTTACACAATAGGAATGCGATTAGGATTCCGTTCAATAACTGTAATTCAGATTGCAGAGTAATTGATAGAGAAACACAAGTTCTAGTGATGTTAAGTAAATGTAAGCAACATCAGAGTCAAGCCCAAATGGAAATGTTAATTTTTAACTTTTGTGTTTGATTTAGGTCATGGGCCAACCTGAATAACAAAGTAACAATTACATAATACATCTATTTTACTGAAAATTTGGCAGCAATACCTTACCTGTACCTGACTAAATATTGGCCTCAGGCTCTGAAAATACTGTTGTTCTCTTTTTCATTCAAGAAAGCAACCTAAGGACTGACCTTTACTGTCATTTCCATGTTCAAAACTTCATCATCACGCTGCAAATCATGAGACAGAATAAATCTTTCTGGGCTTCTTTTTTCCTCTTCCACAATTATTTTGCACATAGAAAACAGGCACTGATCTTTGAACTATATAAAATAAAAGGCATTTGAAGTTTGTAAAGTTTCTAATTTTTAATTACATATGACAGGTTTGATTAGGAAATTAATAGCAATCAAGTCAGGAAATGAGCTGAGAGCGGCCTCACAGTCACAGGCCGTGGTCGTCATGGGGGATTTTAACTTCCCTGATGTTTCCTGGAAGGACCACTCGGCAACCCAGCCGCAGTCCAGGAGGCTCCTCCAGTGTATGGATGATAACTTCCTCCTGCAAATGGTGGATGAGCCGACCAGGAGAGGAGCGCTGCTGGATCTCATCCTCACTAACAAGGAGGATCTGGTTGAAGCAGTAAGGGTTGAGGGCTGCCTTGGTTGCAGCAACCAAGAGATGGTGGAGTTCAGAATCTCGTGTGGTAGGACTAGTAGAATACCAAGTAGAATTGCAATCCTGGACTTTAACAGGGCAAACTTTGGCCTTTTCAAGCAATTGCTAGGGGAAATCCCATGGGCAAGGCTGCTTGAAGGTAAAAGGGCCCAAGATAGTTGGTTGACATTCAAGGATTGCTTTTTCCGTGCTCAAGATCGGAGCATCCTGACACATAGGAAGTCAAGGAAGAGGGCCAGGAGACCTGCGTGGCTAAATAGGCAATTGCTGGGTATGCTCAAGTGGAAGAGGAGAGTTTACAGGTCATGGAAGGAGGGGCTGGCCACTTGGGAGGAATATAAGGCTGCTGCTAGAGGATGTAGGAAGGCAGCTAGGAGGACTAAGGCATCCTTAGAATTAAACCTGGCAAGAAGGGTCAAGGACAGCAAAAAGAGCTTTTTCAAATATATGGCAGACAAAACTAACACCAGAGGCAATGTAGGCCCACTGATGAATGGGATGGGTGCCCTGGTGACAGAAGATGCAGAGATGGCAGAGTTACTGAATGCCTTCTTTGTCTCTGTCTACTCTGCTGCAGGCAGTCCTGAAGAGCCCTGTACCCCTGAGACCTTAGATGAAGTCAGGTCAACGGAGCGGTTTGCCTTAGTCGATGAGGAATGGGTTAGAGACCAGTTGAGCAATCTGGACATCCATAAATCCATGGGTCCAGATGGGATGCACCCGCGGGTGCTGAGGGAACTGGCGGAAGTCATTGCTAGACCACTCTCCATCATCTTTACCAAGTCTTGGGAAACGGGAGAGGTGCCTGAGGACTGGAGGAAAGCAAATGTCACTCCGGTCTTCAAAAAGGGCAAGAAGGAGGACCCGGGTAACTATAGACCGGTCAGCCTCACCTCCATCCCTGGGAAAGTGATGGAACACCTTATCCTTGGTGCCATCTTAAGGCATATCAAGGATAAGAGGGTTATGAGGGGCAGTCAACATGGCTTCACCAGGGGGAAATCATGTTTGACCAATCTCTTAGCCTTTTATGAGGAAATAACATGGTGGATGGATGATGGCAGAGCGGTGGATGTAGTCTACCTTGACTTCAGCAAAGCATTTGACACAGTCTCCCACAGCATCCTCACAGCTAAATTGAGGAAGTGTGGACTGGATGATCAGGTAGTGAGGTGGACTGTGAACTGGCTGAAGGAGAGAAGCCAGAGAGTTGTGGTCTATGGGGCTGAGTCTAGTTGGAGGCCTGTAACTAGTGGAGTGCCTCAAGGGTCAGTACTGGGACCGGTATTATTTAATATATTCATCAACGATTTAGATGAGGGAATTGAGTGTACTATCAGCAAGTTTGCTGATGACACTAAGCTGGGAGGAGTGGCTGACACGCCAGAAGGCTGTGCGGCCATCCAGCGAGACCTGGACAGGCTGGAGAGTTGGGCAGGGAATAACTTGATGAAATATAACAAGGGAAAGTGTAGAGTCCTGCATCTGAGCAGGAACAACCCCAGGTTCCAGTATAGGTTGGGGAACGACCTGTTAGAGAGCAGTGTAGGGGAGAGGGACCTGGGGGTCCCAGTGGATGACAGGATGACCATGAGCCAACACTGTGCCCTTGTGGCTAAGAAGGCCAATGGCATCCTGGGGTGTATTAGAAGGGCGGTGGTTAGTAGGTCGAGAGAGGTCCTCCTTCCCCTCTACTCTGCCCTGGTGAGATCCCATCTGGAATATTGTGTCCAGTTCTGGGCCCCTCAGTTCAAGAAGGACAGGGAGCTGCTGGAGAGAGTCGAGTGCAGGGCAACAAAGATGATTAAGGGAGTGGAGCATCTCCCTTATGAGGAAAGACTGAGGGAGCTGGGTCTCTATAGTTTGGAGAAGAGGAGACTGAGGGGTGACCTTATTAGTGTATACAAATATATAAAGGGGGAGTGTCACGAGGATGGAGCCAGGCTCTACTCAGTGGCAAACAATGATAGGACAAGGGGTAATGGGTACAAACTGGAACACAAGAGGTTCCACTTAAACTTGAGAAGAAACTGCTTCTCAGTGAGGGTGACGGAACACTGGAACAGGCTGGCCAGGGAGGTTGTGGAGTCTCCTTCCCTGGAGACATTCAAAACCCACCTGGACACATTCCTGTGCAACATTATCTAGGTGTTCCTGCTCCGGCAGGGGGATTGGACTAGATGATCTTTTGAGGTCCCTTCCAATCTCTAGCATACTGTGATACTGTGAAATAATCTTTTTGTAACACAGATCTGTTAGAAACTTGGTTTAATTGCCTCATATTCAAAGCACTGCAAAATGTTTTTGCTTGTATGGGTTGTGTAATATCCAGAACTTTGGCTAGAGTCAACAGAAGTACACCTATGCACTGAAATTCCCAAGGGCCAAGAATCACAGTAGAGCAGCCTAACACTGGACTAATCTGACTCATCAGTGGATTCAGCTGTCTCCTTCCTTTCCCCAGAGCTGAACATCCCACTTTCCTGTACTCTCTTGTGAATAACAGAGTAACTCAGAGTCTGAAATGAGTGCTTCTATCTCTGCAGCAAGTCATGAAGTTAGATGAGGGAAACAGCAACATTGTATGTTTGTAAAAATAAATAGAAAATCAAAACAAACCTGTTCACAATACCAGCTAAGAATAAAATATATTTTATAAGAATACAATCTATATATATATATATGAGAATAAAATATCTTCTTTCAAAACTGCACATCTCACAATTTCAGTCAAACAACTAAAGATCATTTGCTCCTGTCAATATTTAAAACCAGTGAAATCTGAAATACAAGTAATTTCAGGAACAGTGGAACATGTGAAGCCAAGTGTTCTTTGGACTTGCGTCTTCCAAACTCTTTCTTCCATACTGCAGTAAACCCAGCTTCTCCGGGCTTCCTAGGACACCAAGGCCAAGCAGAAGTTTGATGGCAAACTTGCCAGAAGTCCATGCTGGCTGCCCTGTTGGCTGATGCTAAATGAACCCTAGAAAAGCTGAGAAAAATCTCTTTTCTTTCTGGGGAGAAGGAGATGAAGGAAAGGCGTCCTAATTTAGTTTAAGCCACATTTCTACAAAAATAATAAATACTTAATTATCTCTAAGGCTTCTATACTTTTTCAGATTTGGTTGAAATTCGGTCGTTCCTAAACCACTGCAATGACAGAGTCACACAACATGACCGATGCTTTGCCCTTTTGCGCCTTGTCCTGGGCAAGGATTGACCCAATGTGTTTGTGTCTTCCCTCACTCATCTAGAAAAGATCAGATGTATCTGATTAATTCTCACTTGAGGACATCTCTCATACATGCTTCAAATGTCTGTGGGAATTACTCCCAGCAGCTGAGGCTCTCTGTGGCACTTCCTAATACACAGAAATGCCGCTGGGACAGATTTCAGCTGTTTCAGAGCTCCTTCCAAGGCTGCACATGCCACCTCATGGCCATCTGCAGTATTTACGACATGTCCTTTCTGTAACAGCAATTGTACAAGCCATGCAGCACATGTTTGACAAGATCTTTCCAAAATTTGAATTACCGTGCTTGAGTGACTTCTCAGGGTCACTGCCGGTTTTGCCTTCTGCCTCAGCTTATTGTTTCAGAAACTCTGTTCTGGGACATTCACAGATGCTTAGACTGTTACAGAGGAGAAAAGTGGTTTTTTCCTGTCAAACTGCTGCAAAGATTAAAGGCAGGGCCAAGTATCTTTATTTGGCTGAGACCATCCCTTAAAAATGTAAACAGATTTAAGCAGCATGAAAATATAGCTGTGAATTATGGTAAGGGATGGCAGGCAGGGAATGTGAAGAATAATGAATAATAAAATAATTATTCCAACAGAATGAGAAGTGAACAAGAAAATCAGATCGTTAGCTCTGTGGGACAGGGCCCATATTCTGTATGCTTATATAGCACTTATATAACACTACAAAAAGGAACCTCAGTGGGGCCTCTGCAAACTAGCGTGCTATAAACACTAATAAAGCAAAACAGAGCAATAGATAATGCATTTGAAGATACAATCTTGCGCCAAAAAATCTGATGTCTTCTCAGAGCAAAAGGAGAAAGTCAGGTGTGCAAAATGCTGGAAAGAAGAAAAGGAGAGCAATAGGGACTAGAGAAGAGTTGCCCTGAAATAATTTTCCTACTTTCTATTCTTTGCCTTCATAAGTCAGAATGAAAACTTCCTTACCTGAAATATCTCCATTCTTGGAGATACTGAAAAGCTGTCTGGACAGGGTCCTGTGGAGCCTGCTCTAAGTAACCCTGCTTGATCAGGCTGGTTGGGCACAGTGACCTCCAGAGGCACCTTCCAACCTCAGCCACTCTGTGGATCTGTGAAAATACTTTCTAGTTCTATTCATAAATTCTTACTCAGCATGAAATAAAATGTACCATCTGCCTGGCTCTTTTATTGTCTGGAGATGAAAGGGGTCATTGGGATAGGACTGAAAGTTTCCAGGGTTATGGCTGGTCTGACAACTAGGATCCCTGCTAGAGGGACCTGATGTTTAGGGATAGGTATCTGGAGATAAATGGACTAGGATGAAATATAAGATTAATGACAAAGGAGGCAGTGATCTAGAGCGAGGACAAGGCTTGCAAGACAGGACCTGGGGTGCTGTATTGCTAGAAATGAGGCTGAAAGAACTGAAACCCATGCTAAGCTTTGTGCTAGCACTGTTAGGAAGAACGATACTGTGTTCAAACAATACAAATGAAAATTATAAAACAAATGTCTGAAGAAACCACTGAGCCAATCTATGCCAAAGGCAGTAAATACAGATGCTGCAGCTGTTACTATGGCAACTTCCAAATTAGTCTTGCAACAGCCCCCACAAACTAGTGGGGGGCACTGATGAGTACTGGTGAATGAGAAGAGACAATCTGCAACAGAAAGAAAAAGGGCAAGGAAAGGACAAGAACATGATGAAAAAAATAGAAAGCACTAGTCATGCCTTTGCCATAGATGGGATAAAGATGTGGAGAATGGAGTAGGGGTAACACAAAGAAGTATGAAGAGAACAGAGGAAAAAAGCAGAAGAAAGATGAATAGAAAAATGATGAAGGGGTGCAGGGGGAAGAGAGTAGCTTGCTCTCTTCTGTGCTATCCTTTACCAAACAACAGCATTTTTCTGTCCACAGTGCAGCACACTGTATGCACATACAGAGCACGGAAACAAGTGGTGTTCCTGAGAGGTTAGTATTGGGACTGGCGCTGTTTAACACCTGCATCAGCAACATGGACAGTGGGATTGAGCACACCCTCAGCAAGTTTGCCAAAGACACCAAGCTGTGTGGTGCTGTTGACACACTGGAGGAAGAAATGACATCCAGAGGGACCTGGACAGGCTGGAGAGGTGGGACAGTGCCACCCTCACGAAGTTCAACAAGGCCAAGTGCAAGGTCCTGCATCTTGGTCAGGACAATCCCAAGCACAAATACAGGCTGGGTGGAGAATGGATTGAGTGCACCCTAAGAGGAAAAACTCAGGGGTGCTGGTTGACAAGAGGCTCAACATGACCCATCAGTATGAACTTGCAGCCCAGAAAGACAACCATAACCTGGACTGCATCACAAGAAGTGTGACCAGCAGGTCGAGGGAGGTGATTCTCCCCCTCTACTCTGCTCTCATGAGACTCCACCTGCAGTACTGCATCCAGCTTTCGGGGCCCCAACACAAGAAGGATGTGGAGCTGTTGAAGCAGGACCAGAGGAGGACCACAAAGATGATCCGAGGGCTGGAGCACCTCTCCTAGGAAGACAAGCTGAGAGAGTTGGGGTTGTTCAGCCTGCAGAAGAAAAGGCTCCAGGGAGACCTTAGAGCAGCCTTCCAGTACCTAACAGAGCCTGCAAGAGAGCTGGAGAGGGACTTTTTGCAAGAGCATGTAGGGATAGGACAAGGGGGAATGGCTTTATACTGAAAGAGGGAAGATTTAGATTAGATATTAGGAAGAAATTCTTTACTATGAGGGTGGTGAGGCACTGGCACAGGCTGCCCGGAGAAGCTGTGGCTGCCCCATCCCTGGCAGTGCTCAAGGCTGGGTTAGATGGGGGTTTGAGCAACCTGGGCTGGTGGAAAGTGTCCATGCCCATGGCAGGGGGTTGTAACTGGATGATCTTTAAGGTCCCTTCCAACACAAACCATCCTATGATTTCACAATTCACATAGATCCCCAAGATTATCTCTGCCCACCTCTAAATGCTTCTTGTGGCTATGCTGTTTCTGGGTCAGAAACCCACCCCCCCAAATCCTCAAGCAAACAAACAAAAAATACCAACCCTAAAAACCATGCTGAGTCATGTTATGCCATTAACTGATGTATTGCATCTCAGAATGGGCATGCTCTGAATCCCAGGGAATTTGTTTTGATCTCAGCAGCTAAAATGCCCTGAGATCAGAAGATGCCTGCTGTCACTTAGGGAGATAAGGCTTTGCTTTCGCATTCTAAAGGTCTGCAGCTCCCTTCGAGCTCTCAGCTCTGATTTCTACACACAGAAATCATACATGCATTTATATGTCTAAAGTAAACTTTCACATATTAGGAACAGATGAGGTAAGAACCAGATTCTAACAGCAAACATCTCAACCAACTCTCGTGACTGGTATCTTCTACCAAGCTACAGACCTCTGAAGTACAAGAACCAGTCATAGAAACACCAGGCACAGGGACTTTGTGGAGCATCAAGCTACCTCTATCTGGGTAAAACTTCTTCATAATCCTAAATCATTTAATACTTTACAAAATGTATCTGTTCTTATAATCACAAAGTTAACTTCGCTCACAGGCCAGTGCTAACAATATCTCTTGAAATTCTTGCACTTAGTCTGCTACACTGAAAACTTCTTTTTACAGAAATACTTGAAACTTCTTAAATTTCAGCCTCTTGATTGTGTGCTCTAAAGATGAAATTTATTTTCATTCCCCTGAAACTGCATGCTCTGAAGTTCCTAGGTTCAGAGTTGTGATTGAACTACGTAACAAGAACTAAACCTGTGTGCAGAAATGCAGAGAGCACTAAGTTAATAATATTTTCGTCTTGTTTTGCACTTTTTGCCAGTGCTATCTGCATTATTTTCATCTGCTTCCTATTCAGAAGAATCAGAAGCAATACCTTTAGCCTGTTTCATTTTAACTTTGCTCTCTCAAGTGAAGAGAAATACATTTACCTTATTTATTCAAATGCTCCATTCGAAGTTAAGCATAAAATATCAATATATTATAAATTGTGATTCATTTTATGCCTTTTCTCTATTTACACTGTCATATTTAAAACCTGTTTAGATCCTTCTTTGCTATGCATATGAGCAGATCCATGCTAGTAAGCACAGTCATGCATAAAGTTAGCATAGCTTGCAAGAAACTGCAACAGTTTCTACAGCCAGAAACCTGGGGGCAGAAGCTCACCTATTCCCCTATACACAAATAACTTAAGTGGCCATTTTCTCTGTGTCTGACTAGGAAGACGATAAACTCCCATACTGACATCTACTACTGTAAGATTCTTTAAAAATTATGGGGTAATCAGACACCTTAGAAAGAACCATCCTAGAAATGCTGTAGGTTTCCCAGTTTTTCAATCAATGGGAAGTTTTCTGCAAAAAGAAGATACAACAGTCAAAATAGTTGCTACAACTAATAGAGATATTTCTCACTTTCAAAAAGATTCTGTACTAAGATCACTCATCCGAAAACCTTTGGTTTGGCTTTCATCCCTAGAAAAGTAATTTATTAATTTCTCCTTGCCAAAACAAAAAGATCCTTTGCTTGAGAAAGTGGCATTAAAAGTAAGCAGAATGCTATTTATAAACAACCTCAAATAGGAACTGTATACAAGACTACCTGCAGCTCTAACAAACATCCCTGAACACAAAAAGAAGGTATACCTGAGGTGGATAAGCTTGGAGTACTCAAGCAGAAAACAATCCTTGAAATGCTGCCAGTCTAAATTTTAATCTCCCCTCAAACGAGCATCAAGGTTATTCATACAAAGATTATGTAAGCAACCTTTAACGCTTCTTTACAAGTAAAGCTGTGTAGGAATTTAGAATAGCCATTATCACTATTTAAAAAAGCAATTGGATAGCTTTCTTATTCTCTTATCTTTTTAAAAATTGAGACCTTCATAAATAAGTAATGACAAAATAAAGGCAACAGAAAGTCTGTGTGGTCCCAGAGCCTAGTACACCAGCAAGAGAAGGACAGGGGAGAGTGTTTCTTTTCTTATCAGCTATCTGTAAATGCGGTCTGCGGAGCACAGATGCTTCAAGATAATCCAGATCCTTGCAATAAATCTATTTCCAATTGCATCAACAAGAATTGTACTACTAAATTCAAACTTTTCTTCATTTCTACTTGGAAATCTTTTAAAATTCTGCCTGGAAAAACATAACAGGACAGATGAACATAATTCTTATTTTTTATTATTTTTTTTTTAACAACAAATTTAGGCAAATGAATAATAACAGAAAGATTTTTATTTTTTTTTTTTTTATCTGTAAGTGGTAGATGATGCTAGACTACAACTGTGGGAACACTGGTCCTAATGTGTGGATATACAGGTCCTGTACTGTTCCCTAATACCAAGCTTCATCCACTTCATCTTCCATGTTGTTCTGCAATCATTAACTTCAGGGAATCGCCTGAAGTTAATGACCCTCAAGTAAAAAAGGGTCATAGTTTGCTATTTAGCATTCATAATGATTGCAGCATTAATGTGTGCTGGACTTCGGTGCAGTGTGAGGCAATGGCATGAAATCAGTGGCAAATAGCAGAAACAAATTTTACAGTATGTTTTAATTCTTCCATGCCTCTATCAGTTGTTCCATCCTTGAGGTGATCCACAGTCTTCCCCTGTCTTTATTAACAGGCTTTAAAACAGTACTACTTCGGTGTACTATTTCCACCCAAATGATTCAATTCTTCTGGGGCCTGATGCACTACAGACTCTTTGGAACAGTGTTCGTTGATCTTTGATACAAAGACAAACCAGGAACTTGTCAGATGAATGATATGCTTTGCTGTCCTGTAGAATGCCAAAGAGAGAACAGACAGCTTTCTACTCATCAGAAGAAAGTAATCCAATTCCTTCATCATAAAAATTATGTTGAATGAGCTTCAGACCCATGCTGGCATTCAGAACTAGGTCTATGGCATTACTGATACCCTCCACATGCCCTATTATGAAGGATTCTCAGTGTAGAGACTTTGTGCTGGTCATTGAATTTACAGTGAATTTGATTCACAAAGTCCTAAAACAGAATCAAGAATGACAAGAAGCCACTGGAATTACATACAGGGAAAAAAAAAATAGAACCCAGAAACAAGCAAACAAAAAAACCCAAAACACAGCACATTGCTGGATCTCTACAGTTAGAGGTCCAGAAAGGCCCAGAAAACTTTTCCAAGCATTGGTCCAATATAACCACACATCCCAGCTGTCTTTGTTCAATCCTCTTCCTATGTACTGAGAGCACCAGTAATGGGAATGACAGCATCTGTCTATTGGAAGCTGGCCTGGATCCAATAATTCAGACCATGTAAGAGCTGTGACTTTATTGATATTTTCAATACTCCTAGTTTGGACCTTATAAAAACCAAATCTGAGACAGGCTTCAAGTCCTGTCACTAATCTCCTAACCACATGCCACCATGTTACTTAATGTCTGAAAATACCAGAATACTGTTCTTGTACAATTCACTGAACATGCTTATTCAGTTTTTTGTCCTTGAATGTTATTCTTTTTTTTTCCAGTGCATTTATTTTTTGTGAGAATGCCTTTTCAAGACATGTCTTTTCTGTACCTTCATTATCATGAACTGCATTTTCGGTTTCCAGATTCTTACTCCTTAGAGATCTATTACTTGATGTTTTACCCAGTGTTTGCAGCTTGGCCAATTCACATTCCAGCTGATAAAAAGACCCTATTAGGATTCAGAAACAAGAGGTTATGTTAGAGTATAGTAGGAAAATTATTTTGTTTCCTCAAAAGATAAGCTCTCTAAATGAGTACTAAAAAGCATACCTGAAAACATCAAACCAGAAAATTAATTTAATAAATTCAAATTCTTGATTATCAACAGAAAAAGCTGAATTACTTGTTCAAAGGAACAGCTCTGCTCTGAGAAACTGCACATACTCTGTTGTGTACTGGCTCATATCCCAATCCTATTCACGTCAATAGACCATTGTTTCACCCAGGCAGGACCAATCCCTCAATGTGACTTCATTATGATGCAAGTCTCAACAATGAAAAGTGAGCTAGAGGGTACAATTTAAATAGAAGTTCAGCTTTTTCAGACACCTCAGGGCAGGGATCATTTTTATCCCCAGGTTTGATCACTGTGTGGCATAGTAATTACTCTCTGCTTTAGGGAAGCAAAACTCTTTTTTTCATTCTTTTTTTAGGAGGTAAATCTTCAGGATCAATCAAGCTGCTATAGAGTTGAGATTAGGCAATGGAAGAGAATAAACTATTCATGCCTTTTGAATAACAAGCAAGGATTTGGCTCCCAAGTATAAAGCTTTCATAAAATTCTTAAAGAAAGCAGCAAAACTCACTCTGCCTACACACCCCAATATGAATATTATTTAGAATATTCATATATGCATATAGGCAATTCTGATAGAGAGATGAGGTGATAGAAGCACATGTCTGCTTCCTAGATTCTACCTGACCTCCACATGGCAAGCAAAGGAGGAAGATAATACCATAAAGGCATGAGCCTGCACTGGTAGAGTCTTTGGTCTGTGCAGCCTTGATCAAAAGATTCTGTTGGGTTTTGATCAAAGTACTTTTAAGAGGTCCTATTTACATAATCAGCAATTTTTTTTAGCTTGTATTTGTATAGACATATGTACAAAGAGCTCACTCAAAGTACATTAATGACTTACTAGGTACGTTTACAAACTACATAAAATCTGTGATATGGGTCTTTTCATTTTAGAATAACTGCAGTTCGCTGATGCAAAGACAGTCTGACTCTGATCCATTATAGAATCATAGAATCAAGTAGGTTGGAAAAGACTTTTAAGACCATCAGGTCCTACCATTACCCCAGGACTGCAAAGTCCAACACTAAACCATGGCACTAAGGGCCTCATCTACAGAGTTTTTGGACACTTCCAGGGAAGGTGATTCCACCATGTCCCTTGGCAGTCTGTTCCAACGCCTGAGCACCATTTTGGTGAAGGTATGTTTCCTAATATAGAATTTAAACCTCCCCTGCCACAGCTTGAGGCCATTACCTCTTGTCCTACCTGCTTGTTAACTTGGGAAAAAATGTTGATCTTTAACTAAAGAGAGCAGTTCATTAATGACAGAAGGACCAGAAGAAAAATATTTACATTAGGGATCACATGTTACTTATACTGCTCTTAAGGGGAACAAACTAATCAGTTGGAAATCATGGCAAAAAAAACACCTAAAACCCGACAAATAAACCCACAAAACCCACAGTAACTTGAGAGCTGGGCGAGAACAGTGTTTCTCACCTCCAAAATGCAGACCTTTTGGAAGTGTTTACAGTATCAACTACAATAAGCAAGAACCATAAGAATCTGGGAAGTCAGCAGGAAGGTCCTCTGCAAACATCTGTACCGGATGACTAAAAGCAATATCTCAAAACTTAGTTTACCACATTAAGTGAGTATCTTACCTATTACACTGCTCTGAAATGGATCTCTATGGCCTTCTTCTGGGCGCAGTCCCATTTAAGAGCACATTGGTCAAAGCATTAATGCTTGCGACATGATATTCAAATAAATATGAACCTGGCAGAACTGAAATTGGAAATGGATCCCCTGCAACACATTAAGTGTCCTAGAAACTTGGCTGTTGATTATTCTGAAGACTGATTAGCACAAGCAATGACATCATACATACAGGATATTATTTTCCATTTCCACTCAAAATGCAAGGTTAGCATTTTGAAGATTTTATTTTATTTTTTAACAGATAAAGATAAACTAAGAAAAATGATCAGATTCTCTAGTGTCTGCTTACATGTGCAGTCATTATTTTCACTTCCATTTATAACCAAACAGGCTTGATTTAGGTGTAAACTAAAAGCCCTTTATATTAAAGTCAGTGAAACAGAGAAATGAATATATGCACAGGTCCCACCGATACCTATTTTCTGTCTTATTTGACATGGCTACATCAACGGAAAGGAGTGTGGAGTAAATAAAGATGAGCCCTAGGGAGTGTTTACACAGACTTCAGGATGATTAGGGCTGTGTGTATTGTATATAACTCTGAACCATGCAAGCTGGTAGGAAATTCGTATTGAATGAGAGAAAGATTAAACCATATACATAAATCCTTGATAGTAAAGCAGAATGCTCGTGCTAGAAATGCCAGACTGATATCACCTTCCTGTATTTTCTACTAAGTTCCCAGAGAGGTTGACAACTTGCAAATTTTGCCAAGTATGTAAGCCCTGTGAATGTTTTAAACAATACAATTTTAATCTAATGTAGGACTGCAGATGCTGACAAGCCTGTAGGCTAGGAGGCAGATCATTCAAATGTAAAACCAAATTTGACTGGAGCCTAAACAATGTTGGCCTCTGTTGTAAACTATAGCTTGCTTTTGACATGGAAAGAGAGAATGCATTTTGCCAAAAGGGAATTAGCTTGGAAAGCCTCTGTAAATGATACTGCAATGAAAATAAACTTAGTCCCCCAGCCTTAGTTTCACAGCTGTGCATGAGAAACTTAACAGATCATGCCTCGTGTCACAAGTACTCATGAGCTTTTGGCCCATGTCTTGGCCTTGGGATATCATGAAAACTATATCATTGATGTCAGTCATTTCTCTCCACGACATGGCAGTTCTTTGCAGTGAGATGCCACCAGGGTTTGTAGTATCCTCACTAATAAATAGTAATTCCTGGAAACACCCTACTGCCTTTACAAGTGTACTTTGTCAGCTGTAATTTCTCAGTCTTCCCTTTCCTTCCCTATCATCACGCTCAGCATCAGTTTCTCTTTCCTCTCTTTTGTGGGTTTAAGGTTCACTGATTTGGTCTCATTCACCCTATCAGCATCTCCTTCCATTCTAACTACTTTTATCTTGGCATCAGTATCTCCCCCTCCCTTTTTTTCATGTACTCTCCCATTGGTCGAAGCTGCAGCCAATTCTGTCTCCTTTTTGGGGTGCAAAGAGTCAGGTAATTCTGAAAGCTAGCGGTTTTTTGGTAGAGATGGACATTTACACATTTCTTCTCCTGTTACATGTCAAACTGCTAATCACAGAGCTCTTGCTGGTTCTGGACTAGCCTCCAACTCGGAGGTTAGCATAGGGAGAAACTAAGTTTTCATAGGAGCTAATTTGATATATGACAGCATGAGAAAAATCTAGAATAAAGCTTCTCCTGAACAGGAGTTAATTTCTCCAAGTTATAAAAAAATAAAAATCCAGGCACTGAAATAAAAAGTGCATGATGAGCTTTTTACATAATGCTGAAGTGCAGACAAAAATCTGCAGTTACAAGAAAACTGAAAAAAAAAAAGTCCTCATTAAGAATCTCAGAGGTCTCGGAAAATGAGTGATTCAGTTAACTCTGCATATGCAGAAAACTTTGACAGCCAATCAGTTCCAAATAATGTTTCAGCCTTAATTCTTACAAATTAAAGCTTAAAATTTTCCTTTCTGCGGTTCAGTAATTCTAAAAGTCAGCCCTACTTACTAGACACATTTATATACTATACTATAAAAATACCATGCATTATATGAATTAAAAAAAAATCATAAGAAGGAAACCAGACTCACCTCTGTATTCTTGATGAGGTTATTATTCAACAAAAGTAGATTCAGCTTTGTTAGATCTTCCAAATTTTCCACCCTGGAAATTTCATTGCAATAAAAAGAAAGCTTTTGTGAATTTACATATTTTTGTGGACCATTCATTTTCTGTTTTCTCAGAAGAGGTATTGCTTTGCAGCATTGAAGAACAAAATGTCACTTTATTTTTATTTATTTTTTTTCCAGGATGCTGTTAACTAGTTCGGGAGTTACAAATAATCTGAGACCACATCCTCTGTGTAGAATTCTGCTGATTTAGAAAGCTCTTCAATTAAGACAACAAAGTAAAAGCAGTGGCAGCTACAACAGTTCATGATTATGTGTTTTTAAATAAAGCAGTATTTTCATTAAAATGTAATTATTCAAGCTTTTGAAAATACTGTTTCAAATGAGAGAGAAAAAAATCCAACAATAGATTCTAAGTTATGAAAACCTATAATAAGTAACAGATGCAATTTGATCCATATCTAAGTTGGGTTTTTTTGTATACTTAAGTAAAGACGTGCCAGATCGTGACTTCTTCCTTGAACAGACAAAAGGAGTGTTTGTGAAAGAGCGATTGTCATTGTAAGGGACTGGAAACTGTATAAGGTTGGCTGGAAAAAAATCCTCATTTATAACTTCTACTACACAGCATTCAGCATCTCATAGCTCTTTGAGGAACAGGCAGTACCCTAGGTCTGAAATCTTTTGAATACTTTGCCCAAGGAGAATGAAAGTAGTTATAATTGGAAATATTTCATGCCTACAATTCTGGGATAACGCAAGTGAAAACATTTCCAGAGCTGTTGTTTTTAGTCCATCTTGATCAATGTTCTCATAAGACAATCCACTGTATGTGTACCAGAACTGAATGCAGCTATTGTTCTCTTGAATAGACAGGAGGTGTTATGTTCCACGAAACTGACTTATCCTGTGGGTTCCCTTGACTGTATTGACTAAGGACGGTATTCAGAATATACACTGCAATTTCAGAGACCTTAAAGTACCCTGCAGCAGCTGCTCCAGTAGGGTGCAGTTTTCTGTCTCTCCTCCTAGATATGTGTTTTGTCTTAAATGCCCTGAGGCAAGTAAACTGCCACTAGACAGCTCTATCTATGCTGTCCTTGATTTCCACTGACTGTAATGAAAGCCAAGAAATGAAATGCGTATGTAGATAACTATCTGTAGAGACCTAAGTGAAGGAAATGGGAGTGGGATCCCGTTTTAAAGTTCTAACCAGTTCACAGACAAAATTTCCACCATTTTAGGTAAACACTTGATTCTTCTTCCAACTATCTACAAAATTGCAGGAGTGAGTCAAAACGACAAGATATATTTTGATTACATTTATGTAACAAGCTTATTTCTGTTTCTGTGTTTTTATATTTCTTAACTACTTCAGTATATTAAGAAATATAAGAAACTACTGTTTCCCACAGTTCTGAAATGTTCAGATCACCACAAACTCATTAAAACATGCACTTTGCCGCCTTTGGAGCAATCAAGAATAGAGACCACCTTACAGAGAGTATCTTTAGAGAAGCAAAAATAATTGTCTAGCAAAGACATTGATATTTATAGAAGTACGGAGAGAGGGAAAAATTAAAAAAAAACCAAAATGTTAAAACCAAAACTAACTTAATAACTTACCAGCTCCATAATTATTTTCTCAAGGTTCTGGTTTTGGTTACTACTTGCATCATCTCTTGAGTTCTCTGCAGTAATTTCCTAGTATCTTCTTAGAAAAAGTACATTAATATCATCAGCTGTGTAGCTACCCACATTGTCCATAAATGTCGGAATTTCCAGGAAGTTTGGAAAGAAGATCTAAATTTCTAACAGACTGAGTTCCAGAATATATGTTTCTAATAGAATCACAACAGAATTGCCACAGAAGGAGATCAAAATTGCCTGGAATACTTTATTACTTTTTTAATTAACGTTTTTGAAAAGAAAATAGTACAATGTAAGCTATTCTGCCCTATTCTTAAGGAAGGGTGAGGGATTGCACCCACTTCTCCTTGTATTGGATACAAGGATATATGTATCCAGTACAAGTATTTGTGCAAATACTTGTATTGGATACTAGGATATATGTATCCAATACAAGTATTTGTGCAAATACAGTAAACTATATTTACACAAAGCATAAAGATGCAGTAAAACCAAACCAGTCTGTGCTCACAATTCACCAGAAGCCTCAATAAAAGCTCCTCTGCTTTATGAAAAAACATAACAGAATATAAATGAGAGTATAAAAACCTCTGCTACAATTTTTTAAATAATTACACAGCTGCTACAATTAATATTTAGAATTATAAACCACTTACTAGCAATAAGAGCATGATTGTTGCAGCAGCTTTTTTTTTGCTTGCCTTTTGAAAACATTTACATGATATATTAACCACAGTATGTGCAAACTACACCCTTAATGTACCACTTCCCTGCTACTTTTGACTTTCTGCCACATATTTAATGACACACAGCTCCTCTAGCGAGTAATTTAGGACAGGAAATGAAGAATGTATTTTTCCATTTACACAGATGAGGAAATTACATTAGATGTGAATTAGGTTTGGGTGGATGCCTACTCCTTTGGGCTCCATAGGGAAGCTCTGGGAATTGTTCTGCATCTCCTAGAAGGGGCATGGCTTTGCCAGCATTCCTTCTGGAGCACTGCTTCTACAAAGAGCTTCCATATAATACAGTGCCACAGAGTAATAGCTACTTGCCCCCTGCAGCCCTCAGGGCAGTCAGTGACCCCAGCCCAGGCTGCTGCACTCAGTTCTGGTGTGGCAGAGACCATGGCCATGGCGATTACCTCAGTGAGAGGAGTCTGCAGGGGCAGGGGTTATTGGCACAACCCAAGGGGCTCAACACCATAACCCAGGTGAAATGGGACAGCAGAAACTGGTTCTTGTGCCCCTCAGCCGTGCTAGACCAACGGTCTGACAGCAACACACTGGAGACCTTCACCATCCCCTTAAAGGTTAAGGGTTGGACCAGATGATCCTTGAGGTCTAATCCGATTTGGTATTCTGTGACTCTGTGATTCTTGCTGAGCACCTGGCCCAGTGCTGGTGAGTAATTTAATCTGCAATCACTTTTCCTTTCCTCTTTTAGTGTGTGGGGTGGTGGAGCAGGGCTGATAAACTGGTTTTGGAAATGTCAAAAAAAACCCACAAAAGGGTTAGAGAGTTTTATTCTCACTTGTGTTATCTCTCCTGGTCAGGGAGGGTGTTATGTCTGTGTAGCAGTTTTTCTTCAGTGGGCAATGTAAACTGACTGTGCCAAACTGCAGCATAGACTGCACATAGACACACTGCAGCTAAGCTTAAATCAATTAGAAATGTGAGTGTGAGATAAAACAGGCCATTTTTAAACCAAGAGGACCATGTTCACTGAGCCATTTGCACTGGATTAATTTTATCAATTTAAGAACAATTATAATTAAATTACTATGTTAGCATTTTTTTTTTTTAATGCAATGAGACCAGCTGAACATTTTCCAGTGGCAGGATTCCTCGCCAGAAACTTGGATCCTCGCTAAAACAAATGTCGTTGAACATGTCTGATTTGTGAGTAAGGAGGTTAAACTTACTGAAAATTGCAGAGATTTCTTTTAAAGCTTTGTATTAATGTTTCTTAAAATTTGTAATTGGGATGGATAAAATTGCTCAAGCAGTTTATGTGGTTCTACCAAGGGAATCTATTTGCCTGCAGCTTGTTATTTGCACTGCTTTCTCTTACCACCAGATGTCAACCCAAGTCCACATAAAGCCAGAAACTTCCGTTTATTTCACATTGAAAGATGTTCCAGCTTGGTCTTGTATTTTTCTCTCCATAGGTGCTACATTTCACTTACCCACAGACCAAAACATACATATACTGCTTCTTTTAGCAGAAGTCTAACACAAGTTGTTTATGGGTCCAAATTTGTTCTCCTGAATTGATATATATCATAATAAGCACATAATGGAACAGCCTGAAATTAAAAAGGGACTGTTAATATTCTGAAAACTATGTGTACTTTCTAATGCAAAAAAAAACCCAATCATCTACTCTGAGCCTTCGCCAGAGGAATTTTTATGTATTGTTGCTTAGGGGGAGTGTGTTCTGTTCCATTTACACCAAATCCTGCAAGTAAGAGGGTCTTGTTTAGCAAATGACTCATTTTCTCTCCTTTCTCATTGACAAAAGAATCTTAGGGACAACATTCTCAGTAAATTAGTTTAAGCACTTAGGCCAACTGATACCATTCTGTGATCTCTTTAGTATTTTTTAAACATTAATTGAATGAATAAGCATTAAAACTGGACATTGCATCCAAATTCAGATATTCATTGTTACTATTGATAGCAAAATTCAACTGCTTTTGTTTCTGCTCTTCTAACAGAATGACTCATTATTGGCAATGAAGAAGGCCAGATGATCTAATTTGGGTAGAGGGATTTCTGTTTGACTGGAAAGCACTCCTCTCGTACCAGAAGGGAAAAATTGTAAAAATCTTCATTTTTTGGGTTTTCTAGGTGACTGAATCATCTCAGAGTGACCTGTTCCGGCAGCCTAAAATCTGTGTGTGCAATATTCCTATCTCTTCAACTGCAGCAAACATGCAGGGCAGCATTACAATATTAATCATTTATTCAGCTCATTAAGAGCTAGCTAATTTTACTGCAAGATTGTGTTGGTTTACAAGGCCTTTAATACACTTTAAAATACATGTTAAAAGTGTATTTGCATGTATAGTAATTAAAAAATATCTGGCAGCAGTTGTTAGGTTTCTCTTTTAATGTAAACGATTTCCAAACCTATCTCAGACTGAATTAATCAGTTCAAGCGTGTTATCTTTCACCTTCTGCTGTGGCATATCTTGCTTTAATTCTGCTAAAGCCTTTCAGTATAACTTGGAATCTTTCACAGTGTAATCAAAGCAGCTGTTTAAGTGCTGATGCTGCTTTGCTGCTGTATATTTACTTTTGGAATTGTCCTTGTGGTTCTGCTGACTACTGTAGAAACTTTTGAAGCTGACATTCATCAGATTCTCATGGATCACTGTGCACCGTAGGCATGTGTTTCTGCCTCTGCCTTCTAGTGATGCAGATATTTTTATAGGCTAGTAGACCATTTGGTTTCACTGGCATTGCTAAACAGTCATCCTTGTAGTTGTTTGTAGATGGGGCTTCATCCTTAGAAAAGTACTGTCTGTAATTTACATGCAGCTTCTTGTCTGCTTCTGCTTTGTATCACTGGAATATTTCTGACTTCCACAGTGCTTCTGGTATCATCTCTGCAAACCAGGGCACATTTAGTTGAAATGTCAGATTAAGTGGTTAGAAGTAGTCGTGATAGACCTTGAGCAAATGTTTAAAAGAGATTACATTTTAGAAACAAGGCCTTAACATTAATAAAACTGTAAGCACTTCACCTAGCTTTTAGCATTGGGTAAGATATATGAGATAGTTGTGGTCTTGGGTTTTTTTCTGATTATTTTAGCAGTATAAATATTTCATTGTGATACACGGCTATGTCTTTTAAAGTATTTAAAATAATAGATTTCCTATTAAGCACCTGGAAAATGTCACGCCTTCAGCTGTGATTGGAAGCAGTTAGGCTAGCAGGATAAGCAAAGAGAATAGTTGGAAACATGATCCAATTATATTGATGTCTCCACTTAATAATGCCGAATCCTTACTTCCACTGAGCTCAAGAAAATGTTGCTGAAAAAAGGCTGAGGAAGGTTTCCAGGGTTTGGCCCAGCAGTTGTGGTGCATTGAGGATGTTCACAAGAGTCTGTGATCCATGGGCACAAATGTGGCAAGGGGAGAAGAGCACTTGCTTTTGGCACTGCCAAAAATAGGTATTATTGGAGGAGCATTCTGGCATGTATTTCAAGCTAGTTTCAACATGACCTGCAGGATCGAATGAGTGTGTTGCCTCAAGTACGTCACTAGCCACAGACAGTTGTCACAGGCAATCCAGAATCATTACTTTAAAGGCATATGCATTAATGTTTTATCTAAAATAATTTCTGACTATCGGAGCTCTGGGTGAGAAAAGCCATTTTCCAGTAGATCTGGCTGCATCTTCATGTCACAGTGACAGGATCTGTCAGTGTTGTGGGGCTTTTCTCTCTCTGAAGCTCACCTGATTTTGCAGACAGTTGTTCACCATTTTTCAAAAGTAAATGAACTACATAGAAGTATAAAGAGGAATATCCTAGACTCATAGAATGACTTGTGTTGGAAGGGACCTTAAAGATCATCTAATTTCACGCTTCATTGCAATGGGCAGCGACATCTTACATCAGGTTGCTCAAAGCCCCATTCCAACCCGGCCTTGAACACTGCCAGGGAAGGGGCAGCCACAGCTTCTCTGGGCAGCCTGTGCCAGTGCCTCACCACCCTCATAGTAAAGAATTTCTTCCTAATATCTAATCTAAATCTTCCCTCTTTCAGTATAAAGCCATTCCCCCTTGTCCTATCCCTACATGCTCTTGCAAAAAGTCCCTCTCCAGCTCTCTTGCAGGCTCTGTTAGGTACTGGAAGGCTGCTCTAAGGTCTCCCTGGAGCCTTCTCTTCTGCAGGCTGAACAACCCCAACTCTCTCAGCTTGTCTTCCTAGGAGAGGTGCTCCAGCCCTCAGATCATCTTTGTGGTCCTCCTCTGGTCCTGCTTCAACAGCTCCACATCCTTCTTGTGTTGGGGCCCCCAAAGCTGGATGCAGTACTGCAATTGGGGTCTCATGAGAGCAGAGTAGAGAGGGAGAATCACCTCCCTCGACCTGCTGGTCACACTTCTTGTGATGCAGTCCAGGTTATGGTTGTCTTTCTGGGCTGCAAGTTCATACTGATGGGTCATGTTGAGCCTCTTGTCAACCAACACCCCTGAGTTTTTCCTCTTAGGGTGCACTCAATCCATTCTCCACCCAGCCTGTATCTTTGCTTAGTGTTTTGCATGGCTTTATATCATCTGAATTACTGTATTTTCTCATTGCTTTGGATGACAGGCCATAAAAATTGAGTGAACACAGATGGGCACTGGGAATCTATATGAAATTCCCTGTGGAACAGGGCAAGCTGCTGCTTATGTATCTGTCAATAACACTTTAGGAAGGAAGACGGAGTTATCTCAGATGACTGTGTCTGGGGATAGCTGTTGAAAGTCTCCTGTAAGGAGATAAAGAAACCCAAAACCTATCCAATAAAACTTCATTACTGCTTCTAAAAACAACAGGTAAGACATTACTTACAGAATATTTTATGGTTGCAGTAACTTCTTCAGCCAGCTCTGGACCAGATGTCATGCTAACAGGCAGAAATGAGCTCAGCATTTATCTATAAATTAGCAGTTGCCTAGTGACTCATGATTTTGGCATACTTGCTTTATGCAAACAAAAAATAGCACTATGCAGTAGTGGATAAATGCCAATTTTTTTGTCAGGGTCACTGTCCCAGAGCTTACTGCAATTTTTTACATAAATTTTGACAGGGAGAGTAACGCGAAAATGCAAAATGTCAGTGAAAGCAGGGAATTATTCAGAAACCATCAATTAGGTACCTACAAAGGAATGTAGTTGCAAACACTGCAAGGAAACCACCCCCTCCCCCCCCCCCAAAAAGGCCTGAAATATGGGAAAATAAGCAATGTAGCATAAAATAGAATTTTCAAATAATAAACGGAATTGAAATTGTCTAAAAGCAGACCTCAAAATGGGAAAAATAATGTTAATTATTATTAATCAATTTAATTAATCTAATTTGGCTATCCAAATGGTAACATAGGTCTGCCATTTAAATCTGCAGACGGCACAGGCTTTTAGAGTATTAGTAATAAAGTTATACCTACAAAATTATCTGAATCACCTAATGAAATGCTGACAATATGCACTTCAATAAAGCTGAATGTAAGCTGATACACTGGGGCTATATGGGCTTACAGCTACATGATGAGAAACCTGGGCTTGAAATGCTTTGATTCAGGAAAGGGATCTAGGGTCATCCTTAGCAAACTACTTCATCCTGAGACCCATTGTAGTGGTCTATTTAAATTAACCAACCAACATGTTTTATGGATTTATTGAGCAGATAAATCCATAGGGAAGAGATTTTTCTTTGTATGCAGCACTGATAAAACATGTAGTGGTGTGTTCATTTAATACGGTTTTACTTCAGAGGAGGAGATTGCAATCTTAGCCATGGACTGAAAACCAAACCTGATAATGCACTGCTAACAGGCACTCACTGATAAAGGAAGGTTGAAACTGAACTGAAGAGTAGTATGTAGTTAGCTGTGGAAAACTACACCTGATAGCAAAGGGCTTCTGAGTCTGACAGGGACAGGTGCAACAGTATCCAGCCACTGACATTTTAAGTTGAACAACGTGTTGTGACATGCGTGTAATATATTGTCAGCATTAGCATGGATAGTATTGTGTCAGTGCTGAATTCTGCTGTACCATTAATCTCAATGGTATCTGCATTAGGGTAGAAATCAGCACCTATGAAAGTTCACCCTGATATTTTCATGGATAATCTTGAAAAGGAAGTTGCAATTTTTGCTTTTTATTAAATTCAATTATATCCTTCTATCATTCCATGTAATCTATCAATGAAATCCAATAGCTCTTTTAAATTTGCAGTCTGTATTTTCCAATAATTTTGATGAAGTAAATAATTTCTCCAAGAGGGGGCTCAAATTCTTCATGCCTTCTAAAGAGAACCTGCAGATGCAGGAATGTGAATGTGCTTCTTGTGTTAGTGGTGAATAATTCTGATTTTCGTAAGAGAACAAACTGCACTTACACCAGTACTTTGAAAAACGTCACTTTTTCTGTCTCCATCTTTCTTGTCTTTCTTTCCTCTCTAAGCACCCATGGTCTAAACATGATCTACTAAACCAACAATAAATCTTCCATGGGACACGCTGTCATTACAGGGTAGAGTCATAAGAGAAATAATCTGGGCTATAATCTGCAGTCCCTGGCTCCACTGAATCTCATAGAATGATGCTAGTTTTTTGCTCACTGAATGCCAGAACCGTTTTGTGGTCTTATTTTTGTGTGCTGTTGGCTTTATGCTACACACAGGGCATTAAACCCAACCACCACCCACCACAGTAGGTGTGGAAGAATCATTTCAATCTGATGAAGCATCCTTATGAATCACCTTTTCACAGAGCGTGGTTACACTGAGATCGAGTCCACTAGTTACAAAGTGCAGGGAGAAGCAAACAAACCTATTCAGGAAAGGACTTGAGCATATGCTGCAGTCACACTGTAATGTTAGTTATCAGAGGTCTCTAGGAAATGTGAACCTCAAAAAGCACTACAAAAGTAGCACTGGAACATATTGTCTAACATCTGGAGGAAAATAATGCGCTGAAGGCAACAATAAAATGTAATGAGGAATCTTCATTTTTTTTCTTTTCTTTTCTTTTCTTGCATTTTTCCATGGTGACTTTCATATCTCTTTTTCTGAGGCACAGTGGAAACTGAAAACCTGCCAGACCAGAACAAGTACAGTCAGCTTTCCAGGATGAAATAATACCTTAATTGGTCTGTCTGCATGAAAAAAGGCCCAGTCCCATCATCCCAGTCTGAGAGACATGATGAGAAAAGTATCCTAAATCTCTATCAGCAGATATTTCTTGAGTTATTTATATCTTTTGATGAAGAGACCTGGTAACATAATCCACAGAGACAGGGTACTGTAAGATACCGTAACACTCATGTATCAAAACGTTGTTTTGAGCACGTAATGGATTTCCTACATAATTGATAATGTAATGGATTCCTACATAATCCATAATGTAATGGATTCCTACATAGCTTAAGGAAGTCTCAAAAAAAATTATCTTGTTTTTCATATTTTTTCCCCCTGAATCACAAAAACAAGACTAGCAAGTACCTTGAGAAGTCACCCCTTTACTTCAAGGCAGAATAGACTTTTTCCAAACCTTCCCTTCATACTGTTTCTGTAAACTTTTTTTAAAAAACTCTGGAGATGGAAATTCCAAACCCAAAGACTAATGGGAAATGTTAATCCCAATGCGCAGAGAAAATTAGTGAATGTAAGACAAAAGAGTGGTGTGCTCAATGGCGCTTTGATATTACATTAACTTCAAGATTTTGCTGTAGGAGAGCAAAACCCTGGAAGTTTCAAAGGCTCAGCTGACTATGTCAGGAGCTTCCATCACATCTCTGAACTATTTGTACAAGTTTATATCCCTTTATATTGCATAAGGAATACATTTCTTGTTCAAATTCCTGGACTAAAGATTAATAGCAGGAAATGGAACGAGCATGCTTTTGACACATTATTGTGACAGAAGAGAAACACCCTGTTTATAGTTTTGAACAGGTTACTATACCAAGAACCTCCCAAAAATATGTATCAAAAACATCCGAAACATAAAGCCATTTTTGAAATCATCTAAAAGGGAATCATATTTAGCTGTATTGCCATAGGTAAAAATGTTCTAGAGCAAAACGATTACATATGTGTTTCTGTTATGGAAGTGACTGTGCTCTGACAGGTTGAGATACTGATATTGACAAAGCAAAGGAGAATTTTGAGAAGCCCAAGTGACTGAGTTCATCTGAAATATAGAATTTTTCCATCAATAGAAGTGCCAGGCCTGTGCAGCCCCTGAGTGTCAAGAGCCCTGACAACAGCCTTCAGTTGCTCTGGGAGAGGGATTATGACTTCAAAAGTGCAGCTGAAAGGTTGCACTCACATTTCTGGAAAATTATTTTAGCCATATAATACACCAGCCTTTCTGAGCATAATATAGAAACTAGATACTAGGGCTCAAGACACTTTGTCATTTCATTTCTGTAGTAGTAAAGACTGTCTTTCTCTGCTGCTTCTGTTGGTTCTGGGTCATCTGATGTTGAAAATATAATGTATTCACCATTTCCAGGCCTTCATCTTTGTAATCATTTGTAAGAGTAGCACCTAGACCTGGCTTGTCTGCTCTTCTAAATGCAACTGGAAAAAGAACAGGAAGCACAGACCCTTCCCTTCCCCCCCCCAAAAAAAAAAAACAACCACAAACCAACAAAACCAACCCAACCCAACCAACCAAAGCCAACAACGAAAAATTCCCCCAAAACGCCAAAAAACCCTAAACTAACTGTCATGGTTTAAGCCCAGCAAGTAACTCAGAACCACATGGACACTTGCTCCCTGTCTCCCCTTCTTCCCCTCCCCCCATTCCCAGAGGGATGGGGAGGAGACTCGAAAGAATGTAACTCCCACAGGTTGAGATAAGAGCAGTCCAGTAACTAAGGTATAACACAAACCACTGCTGCTACCGCCAATAATAATTGATGGCTTGGCTTTGCGAGCGAAGATTTGGGAAGGGCTTTAATTACGCTTACTACAAGCACCATGACCAAGGGCATGTGGGGTATGCAAATCTGGTTGAAAAAGGGTGCTTAGGCAATCAGGAAGTGTCCGACCACGACTGTCAACTCCTGAGCTAACTCGAGCTACCCATGCGCTGGTCCGCCCACATGCAACACTGGATCTGCAGCTTCCCATGCACCTTGTCACCTACCGTTTAGGCCCTCGCCCGTCCATACAGACAAGTGACAGTGAGCCCTTCCAGCTTCACCACTAGTAATAATGATAAGGGAAATAACAAGGGAAGAGAATACAACCGCTCACCACCCACCGACTGATACCCAGCATGACCTGAGCAGTGTTGTAATCCTTCCGGGTAACTGCCCCCAGGTTATATAGCAGGCATAACATGCTGTGGTATGGAATACCTCTTTGATCAGTTTGGGTCAGGTGTCCTGTCTCTGCTTCCTCCTGACTTCATCTTCTCCCTGGCAGAGCATGAGACTCAGAAAGTCCATGGTCAGAGTAAGCATTACTGAGCAATAACTAAAAATTGGTGTTATCAGCACTGTTCCCAGGCTGAAAGTCAAAACCACAGCACTGCACCAGCTACTAAGGAGAAAAATGACTGCTACTGCTGAACCCAGGACACTAAAAACCTAAACAAAACCAAACAAACCCACAGAAAAAGCCAAAACCATAAATAAGGGCCATGTGGGCTAGTGCCAGTCAACGTTCATTCCCAGAGTGGGGTAAATAATGAGTGTTTGTCTCCGTAGAGAATTTCCAAGCCAGTACAGCTGAGAAGAGAGTTTCTCTTTTGGAAGAAGAAACACAAGCACTGATAGGTTCAGATCCTTTGCTTCTTGAAGAAAAGAGGAAATATGGCTCCCATGTTGACCATAGCACTATACAACATATTCCTGGCCACATCTTGGCCAGCTTTCTTTCACTAAACTAAACTCCTAAGAAACCGCCTAGAGTAAGAGTGGCACAGACTGGTTTGCTGTCCGCAGCAACATATATATATGAGCAGAAAATGTTCCTACTGGGTTAAGAGGGAAAGCAGACATAATGAAGACAGCTGATGAGATTTGTTTCTTGGTTGCTGGTTGTGCTTCCCACAGACCATATTAATTCCAACAGATGAGTAAAAGATGGAAAGACATGCTAATTAGCAGCTTATTTTAATGAACCGCTTCTGTACTTTATGATCTAATAAGCTTTCTAGATAAGGCTTATGTTGTCAGTGCTTTCAGAGGCAAAAGTTTCTGTTTCTCCAGTAGAATCATAGAATCATAGAATAGTTAGGGTTGGAAAGGACCTTCAGATCATCTAGTTCCAATCCCCCTGCCATGGGCAGGGGCACCTAATGCTAAACCATGTCACCCAAAATTCAGTACAAGGGTTATGTTCATGTATTTCCAATGCTTAAAGAGAACTGCTTCAGATTGATGAATATTTACTTATACAGTCCATATATACACCATAGGTGATGAGAGCCCTCTTTTATTACAGCTCTGTGGAATTACACAGCACAATCTACAAAGACAAGAGAAGGTAAATGGAGCACAAAGGTGTGAAAGTCATGGTTAGGACCATTATATCAGAGTGTTAGAGAACAGTCATGGTTGTGAGACAATAAACAGAGGGAAAACAGAACAAAAGAGGTCTGGGGAGGAACCACAGTTAAGAGGAGAAGAGCCAAGAGAAATAGCCAAGATCTAACTGCTTTGCCTATAGTTTATATGTTGAAGGAAGAAAACAGAACATATTTAATGGAACACAAGGATGGAAGAAAAAGGGAAATCTAGGGAAAAATATAAAGAAGAACTCACCTGATCAGATTAAACTGACAATGAAGGTAAGAATTTCCTGGGAAATACATGTTAGAAGTTGTATATATCATATCTCTGTAGATTTTGGAAAGATGTATGATAGTTGCACTAAAAGAAATTGAGACCTAACACTCTGCTGTTTGCAGCCCAGAGCACAGGATTTATTACCAGGACACATCTGCTTTTAAAAATTCAAAGACATGCTGGCAAGTAATTTCTTCATCATTTTTATGCCGCAATTTGTGATCAATGAAGATGTTTGAAAACAATTAGGAAAACCATGAAGGAACCTGAAATGCTAGTTCAGGGCCAAACTCTGAACTGCATCAAGTCTGACTTCAGAAATGTTCAGATATTTAAAGATAATGGGATGCTAAAATGTTTGCTGACTCACAACATCAATGAATAAAGCCACAGAGGTAGGATCTGGTATTGTACTATAATGGTGGTAGCATGTAGTGAATAAAGACTTAAGGACTGTCTTAGCATGTTTGGAAGTCAAGCTCTGAGCCTCAAGTCCACAAAAGTAGAGGATAGAGTCTAATTAATTTGTTACTGTTACTTGGCTTTGGTGCTGGTCAACCACAAAGGATGCATTAAAAAGGCCACCCAGCACCTCAGCAGCTTCTCTCATTATGACAGATGCGGGACTGTGCTGCCACAGAGGTAATAATGACAGGCTCAGGCAAAAGCTTTTCTTTTCCAAAACAAGCTCACATTTCTAGGGAAATACTTAACAAAATAGATGGCAAAAATTGAGAAAGATGTTAAATTTGGCTGTGATAATGAAATTCTGCATATTGAATTACCATCGGGTTAGACTGATTCTCTCTTGCCAGGCAGATTTGATTGCTTTTTTAATAGAATTATGAAATGCAATGGAAAGAGGGAATCTGAAATCTGCCTTGTATTTGATGGAATATGTATTTGAAACAGATACCTCTCAAAACTTAGCTCAAGGGTATTTAAGTGTGGGTATTGTCACTGGCAGAGCGGTAACACCAGTATGAGATCTTGTAATGAAAATCACCGTTAACCAAGTGAAGTCTTCAGCTTTCCAATAAAACAAAGAAATCTTAGTTTCAGTTTCAATAGATAATTGCTGAACGTATAATATAGTGCTGCCTCAATCAAGATAGTTACAGAGAGCACAGGAGTATGTACATGAACGCTGCTTCTGCTGCAGGGAAAGGAAAGGCCATGCTGATTTTCCTACCCAGATGCACTATATGAGAGGAGACATTAAACACTGTCAGAACTGTCTTGACCTGTTCCACTTAAAGTTATGACAAAATTTATCTGCTTGGATGACATGTGTCCCTGAGGCTTATTTATGAGATTATGGTGTGAGAGGCAAATCAGAAATTGGTGGGATGTTGATGGGGAAGTAGCATATAGTGTGCAACATGTTCCTAAATTCTCGTTCAGTAGTTAAAACATTCCCTGTTCACTGACTGCAGTGAGGTTTGGCACTGGCAATACTCTTGGCAAAACCTATTTATGCTCTCTGTCCCTCTCTAATGCCTCTAGACTTTCAGTCACCATTGGAGATGTCAGAGGTGCAAGCTGGGTGAAAGCCAGGCAGAAGCAATAGCTTCCTTTAGCATTACTTTACACTCTGTTCTTAGTCTCTGTCTCCCAGAGTTGCAGCTGGACTCAGAATACGGTTATGTGGGTTAGATGCTGTTGCCCATCTGCCTACTGTTTTACCAGAAAAGGTGGTCTCTCTACACAGTATGCACTCCAGCCATGACATGTCATACCTTACTGTGCAGGAACAGTGGCTGCAACATATCCAGACAGATATTTTCATTGCTGGAAAGTCAGACTGTGAAGCAGGCTGATGTCACCATGCTCCCTAAAGGGCAGTCTCCAAAAACAGAGGATACAAATGGCTAAAATTATGTCTGTCACAGCAAAGTGCTGGAGCATAGATTTAATATTGTGAGAGTTAGCAAGCTGGGCATGAGGGATAGAAATGGGGAGGAGGCTTAGTGAGCTGAGGGAGAGTAAGAAATGATGACTGAAAAGAGGAGGCACATGGCACATAGTGTTCAGCGGATGGATCTTCCCAGTAATGTTTGGGGGGACCATGTGCTGGATATGTGCTGTTCATCATACTCATAAATCATGTGAGAAATGGAGAACAGTGATGGGACAAGGATTACAAAAGATGTGGAATTAGGTTAGTAAAAACAAAAGCTGCCTGCAAATAATTGCAAAAGGGACCTCATAAAATAAGAGCGACTGGATCATGAAACATTAGATGAAACTCCATGGCAATAACTGCAAATTGCTGAGCATGGGGAGAAACAGCAGTGGCTACAGATATGCACCAGTGAGCTCTAAATGAGCTATTACATCTCAGGAAAAAACATCTGAGAGTCATTGTGGATAATCCAATGAAAATATCAATTCCATGTTTGGGAGCAATGAAAAAAGCAGGCAAAAGGTTAGAAACCACTGAAGGGGGAGACAACCATCACACTGCAGCACCAAATCCCCAGTGAACCTACACCTTACATTATGCAAGCAGTTTGGCCTTTGCCAGTTCCTCCTTCACAAAATTTTTAAAAAATACAGCTACAAAATGCTCAGGGAAGAGTAATTATCATGACCAGCAGTATGGAATAATTTCCATATGAGGAGAGCCTAAATAACAAGTGCTCCTCTTGGAAAGCAGATGACTAAATCACAGGGGTATATAAATATATATATATATATGTATTTATATATAAAAATGGTTAAAATATGCTGTACAAATAGCCTGAAGGGACAATAGCTGTTATTTCTTACTATGCAAGCACATTGTGAAATTGTCAAGCAGGTTCAGAACAAGCAAAAGGAAGTGTTTCTTCAAGCAACCTATAATCAAGTTGTGGAACTCATTGCTGCAGGATGCCATGGAAGATGAGAGCATAATTAAATTAAAAATGTGATTAGACAAATTTTTGTGTTTATCTCCATCAAAGGCTGTTAAACAGAAGGATGTGGTTTCAATATCTGACTTGGGAAATCTTTCAGCAAAGATTGTGGGAAATCTGCACTCCCTGTGAAAGGAAGCAATTTTTGCTCCTGGCTTCCTTTTCCATGTGCTCTTTCTCTAATCTGCTGCAACTGGACCTTCTCAGAGACAAGAGCTTCAGCAATGCTTTGGCTTGTCTCATTACAGCTCTTTACAGTTCTTTCTTTCTTTTCTACTTTCCCTTTATCTGCCTGCAGTTTTCATAGCCAAACCATTGGATTAGCTCAGGTCTTGGCTGACTGGACTTTACAACCATTTTTTACTCCTGGGAGTGTTGGGCAGTTTGCCCATGTCTTGTCTTAGTGCTCAGCACCTGGCAAAACGGGAAAGATTTTTAATTAGCTCCTGGGTACATGATCCATACAGTTTGTTTTCCTTGGTGCATCCTGGGAGAGTATTTAAAGACACTGCTAGGCAAGTGTGGATAGTTCTCTGAGACACACAACAGACCAACAGACCAGAGTTATGGTTCTAGTTACTGGTGATGTGCTCCTGGAATGACTGTGATAATGCACAGTGAAAATAGTGAGTTGACCTAAGCTGAAGAATCTGGATTAGAGTTACTCTTCATGAATGAATGTCTATAATCTAAAAGAGCACTTAAAGGCACAATTAAAAAATGTGTAAATGATCCAGCTCCCAACAGGATGCAAACACCAGTTGGGGGAAAAAAAGAGCAACTAGGAAATGGAATCTGGAAATTAGTTTTTAAAAACTACCTTTCTCTTGTAAACTGATACATCTGGGAATTGCTCTGCCCTTCCTCCTCCCCATAATCCTATTCTCAGTGGGAGATAGAAATGTTAGTGGGTACATGAAAAGCAGAGGGTAAGTGAATAGCAACAGGAAAATTAAATGACAGTGGTATGCTAAAATGGAAATTCTGCATACAGAGAAACATTATGTCATGAAGTCTCTTTTGATTTAACCATAGTAATAGCATGTTTATGACACTGCAGCTGGTTTCAGAATAAACAGAACAAAACTGCACAAACTTTAAAACCTATAGCAAAATGAAAATAGGGAGTGACTTTTGGGAAGCTATGAATGTATCAGCAAAGAAAACACCAGTGAGGAGGAAAAGTTGTTTAGGCTAAAGTACATTGTTGGCACAAGAACAAATATCTGTAAACTGGCCATGAATAAATTCAGGCTGAAAATTAGAAGAATTTGTCTACCCCTTAGAGAAGTGAATTTTTGGAACAGCTTTCCAGTAGAAATAAGAGAGACAGAACGCTCTACCGTATTTCAAAATGGCAGGGAACAGTTTATATGTTATTGTTGCCTGAAACTGAAAAGGACTATGTCTGGCAAGCCTTATACTTTTGTATTTTAAGCAATCCTATATTATAAAATGAAGGTAGATTTGAGAATGTAAACATTTGAAGGGCAGAGGAAGAAGTACTTTCTTGAGAAACTTCTTGAGAATGAGGTGGTTATGCAGTATTTACTCAAAGGAACTCTTGATCACTCATCATTTGGATTGTCTAAAATAATACTAACTAAAGCAGTAATCTGGGTACTTTCAAGATATGCCCTGCAGTGGCCAGTGTAATGAAGAAGGCAATCTTAATTGGTCTGTCTTCATCGTGAGTTATGTTACAGGACCTTAAAGATTCAAACCCTGGAGCCCACTGACAAATTATGATACACAGGGAGATGGACTCTCTGATTGTTGCTGAAAAGGAGGAAATAGTGACCTAAAGTCATGGCTGTTGGGCTGGGGATTCCTACCTGCTCACCTCAACTTGCAGGCAAGTGGTGTCAGGTCTCTGCATTGTTGGTATTAGCAGGGTCTGCATCCCAGGGAGAAGCCTGCAGGGAGGAGTACATTTCAAGAGGAGCTTTATGATCAACATTTCTGCCTACATGTTTAGAAATGTCATGAAAGAATCTCAGATTCTGAGACCAGGTGGCTTCATGAAAGTTCACATAATGTAGCCACTAACCACAGAAGTCAGTACCTAAAAGATCAGACCTCAGGTATAAGGATTGATCAGTGCAGGCTACAAGATTGGCTTCTAGTTTTTGTTTTATCTTTAAACAGCTTACTTCTCTCTGAAGATGACTTTTTTGAATGTTAAGCTGCCATCTAATCTTGTGTTTCACTTTAGGAAAACATGATGTTTGAAATGCTCAGAGATCCCCTCTCTCAGGCACACAGGAGGATCTTCTTGTCATCTGAATGGCTAACATACCAACGGGTTTTCTGTTTAGAGCTGCTGGAACGTTGTTTTCTAGATCAGTGGTGAAAGTGATGGTATGGAGACTGGAACATGTGGAAGACACAACAGGATGGAAGAGCAGGTCAAAAAGTTTTTCTCTTACAAGAACAGTCACTGGTGCTTAGTTTTAGCACATTTTTGAAATAATAGACTGGATCTTTAGTAGCATATCACTCTGGCAGTAGCACAATTCATGTTTAAGTTAATGTCTTTATTACACCAACAGGTAATGGCTTCACACTGTTTGTTTTAGTGAACTAGAAGAGATCTTTAACAGAAAATGAAGGTAAAAATTATGACTTCACTTATTGCTTTAATGGAAAATAAGCTGTAGCAAAAGCAGACATATTTGGGAAATTGAGCTCTCTGAATAAGTTTTCTAGTTTTAATTCAAACTAAAATTTTGGTTCTTTATATTTTAAGACTTGTTCCCATGCATATCAGTAGAAGGTTATTTCATTGACCTCAGAGTGATCTTTTAATCTATCCCCTTAACATTTGCATTCCTTGATTAAATAAATATGTACTGGGAGCATTTAGTATCTGACCATGCCCACTTACTTACACAACAGATGTCAAGCAGCTACCCTTTATTCTTAATGTACAAATTGCTAAAAGCATTGAAAGTCTGGGCTCTGTCCAAGACTGATGAATGAATATTTAAAGTAAAAAAGACTTCAAGTTTTCACATTTCTTTTTATGAACTCACTGATGTAACTTTCAAAACTGAGAATACCGAAGCTGGACAAATCCCTGTTGGCATACTTCCACCACTAAAAGTACAGGTCCCAAATCATGAATTATCTTCTACCAATTCTGCTGAACTGCTTAGCTGAGAGATGGAAATGCAGATGCAGAATGGTGTTATTTAAAATGTTTAGCATTCACAGAAGTAATCATATTAGACAAAACTGTATAAAAACTTATTTTATATAAAATAGTGAACATATAAAGATGTGGGAAAATCATCATGTGTTCACCATTAATGAGCACAAAGGCAATGGATCTGTATCATAATACAGCTGCAAGTAGAAGATGCTAAGAAAGTTCTGAGAAGCTAAAAAAAATCACAAATGATTCCTTCCTATTTCCACAAGGCAAACCTCAGGCAGCCTCTTCACAGCTCTTAAGCTTTCAACTCTCCATTGAATCATGTTGTCGCTTATTATGTGTTCATCTTATTTTGATTTCTCACCCCTAGCTGGAGAGTCAGACTTGTCAAGATTCACCCCTTTTCCAGAAGCCTCTTTTGGAATGTCACTAGAATTATGTGTGTGGACATGGAGGAAGGAATCGATTGGGTCTTCCAGGTTAATATTGTCCAGAGTGGTCTTGTGAAACATTTTCTACTAACAGCTGAACAGTGACACTGCTGACCTGAAATGTTTTCTATTAGCATCACATTCCTCTTTCCATTTGGAAAGCCTTTCTCATGCTGTGCTGGGACCCCAGCTATCTCACTATTATGGTTTGGTTTGTTTTTTTTTCTCTAGTGCCTATCTCCAGTTTGCTTTCTTGATTGAGGTCTTAGGGCTCACAAAAGTCCTGCTGCCTGGGGTAGATGACAGAATAAAGCAAACAAACGGTCTTTCCACCACTTGAAGGCAGGGTGATCCTTAGGAAGGGTTGATAAGACTTCTGACTGTAATGCACAGAAAATACGCAACTCTTACACTTGCTTGAATTTTTCTCCCCAACTCCCCATGCTGTGTGCAGGTCAAAAGCTCATTTTCTGTTACAGCGTATTTCACTTGCTCTTACCTATTTCTGTTTTCATATCTGTTTCTCTACCATGTTCAGTTGTAATAAGTTGTTGAGAATTCAGATAAGGAAATTACAATGAATGAGATGTTTTAGGTTTTTTTCTTCTTAGGCACAATAAGGACAGATTCTTTATGCCTTACTCTGGGAAACTTTCCCTGTAATGTTGCTTGTGAGTAGCAAACTTTTTTGTCACAGAGATGAGTCATAACCTGCAGATCTATTTTCATAAAGATGTTGTTGATGGCTGAAAGTTGCATGTTGATGAACTTCCCAAGAGTGATTCATCTCAGCAGTTTAAAGAAGGTAACGTTTTCCTCACAATCCAGCAGAGGGCTCTGGATCTGATTTCACTTTTTTTTGGCAGCCTGTGACTTTAATTATACAATGGGCTGTTCACAGGAAACCAGCGAAGCCCTGTTGTCAGTTCAGGTTTTGATTTTTGCAAAAATTAAGTTAATAAAGAAAAGAACATGCCACAAGTTCTAAAAACAAGCCATCCAACTTATTTATGTACCCACTCCACTGCAAAATGCAGAGAGTAAAAGCAATTATTTTAGGGGTTATTTGTATCAGGGATTAATCCTGCCTGGTTTTGCTTTTTCAGCACTGACATCAGCTAGAGTTTGGGGAATGTAGTCTTGTGTTCATTGCAGCCATGTAATTCACAAAATAAAGCCACAGATGTGAGTAGAGAATGTGGTAAGAATTTGCAGGTTGTTCTTTCCAGTTTGCATAATGTGGTAATACAGAATGCACTACAAAGAGATTTTGAAATGTAAAGCAGTAATGTTCCCTTTGAAGAGCTGATATCAAGTGCTAAATGATAGATCAATTAAATGCAAAACCAAATCCCAACCCTGCAAATACTATACAGAACCAGCTTCTTTGAAGTCAATGAGACTAATTAAAATGTAACATAGGGCCTGGTCCTACTACACTTCTGCTAACTGGAGTTTAATTTCATGATTTTAATAAAAAATAGATAAAAGGTCTTAGAACAACTCTAGCTTGGCTTCACCCTGGCAAAATGTAGTCCTTGCCTGACTCAGCCATCTATGGGTCTCTAGCACCCAAACACCTTGGAATTGTGTTTAATTTTGCACTGAAGAGCAGTAGTTCTCATATCTTCAGTGAGGTATGCGGGCACCAACTGGCAAAGGGTTATATTCAGTATTATAGCCTAACTATTGAGTATTGTAACAACCAACCTTTAGGCAGGTAGAGCCAGCTCAAAAGGACTAGGCACATCTGTTATTTACTGTCTGTTTTGAAATGGAGCAGCCGTGTTCAGGGTTGAGCTTGGTCTCTTTCTCAGATAACTTCTCACAGGAAAACTTAAATGAATAATTAGAAATGTGGAGTTCTGAGCCTGATTTTGTTTTATGGATTGGCCCCAGTGGCTGCTGCAAAGATGTTCTTGGTTCTCATTTGTATATAAAGCAAGAAAATTAGGTCTCTGCCATAAAAAATGGAAGAAGAGACAAGTATGCTGTTCATTAGGGGAATATAAGTCCCAGCTATCAAGGTTACACTGAGGCAGCTATTGCAATGTTCAGTTTTACTATATATGGACTTCTCTGTCCTCAGACCTCTTATACTAAACTTGATCTCTAAAGTTACGTATCAGCACTATATCTTTAGATGAACTAATAGCGTGCTCTTAGATATTTTCATAGCAACTATTAGAAGCATCGCTGACTACCTCAAGGTGACAATTGCTTAGATACCTCTGAGGACAAAGCACTATGTCTAGCAAGAATTGTGTTTCACTGCAGTTTTGCCAATATTTGCATATCACAGCAGTTTGGGATCTTAGAGGTGGTGGATGTACCTCTCAGTTACACTGAAAGGTGTAATCTCTTGTGTGTTTTAGAAGTGATTGCAGGTCTTACCTCCACAGACTGATTCTCTGATATGTTCAGTGCCATGCCAAATCCTAAATGAAGCATATCAGGACATTTCTGTTTCTTCCAGCACACAAGCTGTAATCTTTAGCACCTATGAGTTTCCAAAGATATGCAAACAGTACATAATCACCACTCAGAGTCTGATAAATGCATGTATTATATCACCATAAATCAGGATTCAAATGCTAACCTCTAATGGACTTGCTGAAAAGCTGTGTAAGTGCAGAGAGCACTCTGCACAAATACCTCCTGATGTAATGCAGTGGAATATGAATTCATATAAAAAAAACTGTTTCTGCTTCTCTGGTGACTGTCTGTACTTTTGGGTACTTACCCTCTGCTGGAAAAAATCCTGGTTAGATCTTTGCCTCACTTCCTTCAGCTGCTCCCAAAACCAAATTTGTGGATACTTTTACTATAGTTATTTTTTTATTTTCACTGTTTTATCAGTATCAAAACAATTGCCCATATAAACTTCTGGCCACTGTATGATCGGTTCAGAGATCACACAGACTGTCTTGTCTGATACTTTCTTTTCAGCTGGGTCATTAACAGTGAAATTAAGTAGCACCAGGCCCATCGGTGTCAGTCTGAACATTTTTCACAGTGATGACTGGCCTCTGAAACTGCTCTGCCATGGCTTAAAGAAGGAAGTCCTGTTCCATGAAGCTGAGAATCTGACAGGACAAATTCCAATGCTTCTTCTTTTGATAACCCTGGGCTGGGCTCCCAGGATGAGCATTGTAAAAAGAGAAAAAGATTACTGTTCTGACGATGCTAGTGAGCAACACTTGCAATAGCACACAGAGATCATGTTGCCACATGGAGAATGTACTGACAAATAGTATCACCAGCTAAGATCATGGATAGAGACTTAGACTCCTGGTCCAGTGTCCTCCAGGACAGGCAGTCATTTCAATAGACATATATTCTAGAGGTGAGCACAGAGCCTTTTGGACATAGCGCTTGGATGGTAATTCAGCTACCAAGCACTGCTGAAACTAGGCCACTACCCAATGTATCTTGCATATGTTGAGCTCTCACCTACTCACTTGTCGACTCTGCTCAGCTCTCCTCTACAAAGAGACTGAAGCTGGGAAGAAGGGGGAAGCAGACTGTGCTCTTCAGAGGCCTGGTGGGTTTTCTGCTCTTTGACACTTCGACCACACATCCCATGACTGTGTCTGCTCATGTGTTTAACAGTCCTGCTGTTCAAGCTCCTGTCACTGGATTTCGTTGTGAAACTCCCCTTTCAGAGAAACAGAGGTAATCCTCACTGCTCCTAGAGCAGCTGTTGATGTGGATGGGATGAAGGACAGAGCAGTCAGTCAGGCTTACCCGCAGAAGGCACCACCTTTAATCAAATTTCATTACAACTGGAGAGCTAGAGATGCTGAAAGCTCTTGCATGATGTGGGAATTAAAAGGCCAGGCAGGGACTGTATATATTGCTCTGGTACAGCTATAGCTAGGCAGACCTCAGGGCAATGAACTGTCTGATAAAGACTGTGGCTGTGAGCTCTGAAAATAGAGGTTAAATTACATGATATGTAGTAAAAATTTTACTATCGAGACTCTGGTATTTTTGAAATTGTACTTACTAGAGGCCCCAGTTGAACCAGTCTCCCCAATTTACAGTGTGTGTTAAGAGATGGTACTCTCCAGGTGATCATTTTCAGAGCTGCAGCTCTGAACTGAGTACCTGTCTCATCTCTGCAAGCTGCTCATTACAAAGGAGAGCACACCCTACTCCAAGCCAGCTGTTTGTCTGGGAAGGCTCTTACTACACCCATTCTTAAACTTATATCTTTCCTGGGCTTAACCAGTTTTGCTGTTGCTTTCCTGGCACTGGGGTACCTGTATTTTCAGGAGCAAAACTGTGTCCATGACCTGCTGTCTGATGCAGAAACTCACTCCAGGTTACAAAGCAGTGCTGGGATAGGAACCTTTGTTAGGTCCCAGGGGTGCTGTGGGAGGTGGATGATGCCTTGAAGCTCTCTGGGGGGCTGGGGTAAGTATTTCCAGACAGGCCTGAAGGATTCACACTGGCAGTCGTAGCAGTGGGAAGAGCAGATGAAAAGGACCTTGGAGAGGCTGCCTTGTCCTTCAGTGCCAGAGCTTGTGGAGAATATGTGAAGACCAAAGGTCCAAGGGCTCTCTCGGAAAGACCACTGTGCAAGAGCTGCTTGATGGACTGAAAGATGATGGATGGCCTTTGCTGTGGGGAGAGCCATCATCACAGGTCATTTTTTCACACAGGCCATTTGCCTGAGAGACAGTCTTGAGTAGTTTGGCGTGCTCAGGAAGTGTACTTATCTCACCAGGTTTCCAGCCTTGCTTTGGGAGTCCCAATAGCTCTCTGTGACTTGTAGAGCAGGTGTGTTCTGGTTTATCCCACAGCATGGCTCCTGAGGTTTCTACCTGTCTGTGTACAAATGAGATGTAATTGCATGCTGTGGAAGAGCATTCATGCATGTTGGCCAGGCCAGTGCTGTCATACACTCCCAGAGGTTTGCCTGTTGGAGAGAGAGGATGTGAGACACACATGGAAACCAAGTGGTCTGCAGTACAGATGTGGTGAATTGAAAACCAGACTGTAGCTGCTACAGTGGTGAAGTCTTTTCAATGGGGTAGGGGGAGGTTGTTTTACTTATCTTCTTTTCCCTATTTACATCAGAATCCCTTTCTCTTTTCTTTTCTTTTCTTTTCTTTTCTTTTCTTTTCTTTTCTTTTCTTTTCTTTTCTTTTCTTTTCTTTTCTTTTCTTTTCTTTTCTTTTCTTTTCTTTTCTTTTCTTTTCTTTTCTTTTCTTTTCTTTTCTTTTCTTTTCTTTTCTTTTCTTTTCTTTTCTTTTCTTTTCTTTTCTTTTCTTTTCTTTTCTTTTCTTTTCTTTTCTTTTCTTTTCTTTTCTTTTCTTTTCTTTTCTTTTCTTTTCTTTTCTTTTCTTTTCTTTTCTTTTCTTTTCTTTTCTTTTCTTTTCCCCCCTTCCCCTTCCCTTCCCTTCCCTTCCCTTCCCTTCCCTTCCCTTCCCCTTCCCCTTCCCCTTCCCCTTCCCTTTCCCTTTCCCCTTCCCTTTCCCTTTCCCTTTCCCTTTCCCTTTCCCTTTCCCTTTCCCTTTCCCTTTCCCTTTCCCTTCCCTTCCCTTCCCCTTCCCTTCCCCTTCCCCTTCCCCTTCCCTTTCCCCCTCCCCTCCCCTCCCCTCCCCTCCCCTCCCTCCCCTCCCCTTCCCCTCCCTCCCCTCCCTTCCCTCCCCTCCCCCCTTTCCCCTCCCCTTCCCCTTCCCCTTACCCTTCCCCTTCCCCTTCCCCGTCCCCTTCCCCTTTCCCCTTCCCCTTCCCCTTCCCCTTCCCCTTCCCCTTCCCTCCCCTCCCCTTTCCCTTCCCCTCCCCTTCCCTCCCCTCCCCTCCCTCCCCTCCCCTCCCCTCCCCTCTCCCTCCCCTCCCCTCCCCTCCCCTCCCTCCCCTCCCCTTCCCCTTCCCTTCCCCTTCCCTTCCCTTCCCTTCCCTTCCCTTCCCTTCCCTTCCCTTCCCTTCCCTTCCCTTCCCTTCCCTTCCCTTCCCTTCCCTTCCCTTCCCTTCCCTTCCCTTCTCTTCTCTTCTTTCTTTTTTTTCTCCTTTGCTTTTCTTTGCCTTTCTTTGCTTTTCTTTGCTTCTGTTCTCTTTTCTTTGCTTCTGTTCTTTTTTCTATTGCAATTTGTTTACTCTAAAACCTCAAGAATTAATCCTCAAGGAAGAAGAGATGATGCTTTCTATTGCTGAATTTGTTGATATACCCTGCTAGGTCATATGCTCTTTACTGGTAATGTTATATCTGAGACCAAAATTCCCCTCGAGGTTCAAAGGGACTTCAGCCCAGCAGCATACATCAGCCCAGGAATACAAAGGGCTATAATGGAAGGAGAAGCAATTTGTGTATATGTTTTCAGACTTCATACATTCAGAGTCTTGTTATGTCCAAAGGGAACTGCAAGAGAATTAAATACCAATGAGCAGGGATAGATGAGCCTTGCACAAGTCAGTTTTCAACACAATCTAATTACCAGGAGCTTTTGTAAATGTATTGAAAACATGAAGAAATCATCTTTGTTCCTTTGTGCTGACTGTTAACTTAAAATTACACCTCTCTTAAGGACACATTTGATTAAATCTTCATCCAGCCTGATCTTCCTACAGGATCTTTAAAAAGCATGTATAATCTTTAGTGACTTAACGTTATACATGATAGCCCAGGTTGTGCCAAGTTCAAAGTTTTCTGTACAGCATGCAAAATAGATTGATTAAGCTTTCTGGGTTTTAGTCCTGTTGTTCCTATTGATTTCTTTTAATTCATGCTGGCAAACCAATGTCAGTACTCCACTTGTGATGGTCAGTAGGAGCTCAAGATTTGTATCCAAAGTATGAAATTGGACCTCTAGTCTCCCATCCAATGATATTACATGGTGATGAGCAGGGCTGATTGTATTGCATGAGACTGTTCCAGGTCACCTGGGGATTGTGCATGAACTGGTGAAATAAAGCCCTGGATTGCACCACTACTGGGATCGTTGAAGTGATAGAACACATTTTTGCTTTATTTATGTGCTTATGCCTGCTTGTCCCCATTTCTCTTCAATAAGCAAAGCACACATTCTTTCCTCTAAGTCTTTTACTGTAGTAACACTGCCTGTGTTCATGCCAGCAGCCCTCAGATCATGATAACCTTTCTGGTCTGCAGGAATGAATCATTCCTAGTGTGTGTGCACACATTCTGATGAGACTACACTATCGGAAGACCTTTGTGACTGTGTACTGCTCACACAGCAAAGCTGGCAGGGGCTCAGCGCTCCCACAGGCCTTCTCCTGAGCCGTTCAGTGCATTACTGACTCATTTAAGTAGTATCATAGGGTTGCCCCAGCAGTGATGGACACAAAATAAAACTGGGGAGTCTGAACAAACACAGGAAGACATATTTTTGAAAACATATGGTATATCATTAACATTGTTAATAGTAACTTGGAAGTCATCAGAATCTTAATGAGACAATACACAGAGCATGATGCAGTGTATGTCAAAGGGGAAAACATAAAATAGGTAAACATCTCCTTTGCTCATGAGGTGAGCTTTAGGTGTGGGATTTGGCAGTACAAACATGACTAAAATCATAAGCTACTGAACTGCAGCAAACACTGGTCTCTCTTGACATAAACAAATAAAGAAAATCCAATGAGCCTGTGCATATAAG